CGAGCCAAGCTGTTTGGCTCGGTAGCGGCAGCACCAGGTCATTATCCTAAGTTTCTGCCTATGTTTCTCAAGGATGCATTTGCAGATGATATTCAAAAGGTACTTTGGGATGTGCGTTTCTGTCTGTGTTCCGTATCCTCTTTGTGCCGCTTCCTTGAAAATATAACGGTTGGTCAGTTTCACTCGAATTTTCTAATTCGTACCCCTCTAATTCACACCGCTTCTATCTCTCAGGTTTGGTAAGCCCAGTGTCAGTGGCGGCAGCACTGGCAAGGCTGAGACACAAGGGACCACTTCCCTTCGGTCGCATTCCACCCATGTGTGTCTGTGAGTGTCAGTGTTCGTAAGTGTGAGTGTGATTTTGAGTGTGGCTCTGCTGTTCCAGGTCCGTGTGAATGCAGAGAGGATTGTGAGTGAGTGATTTTACACCAGGGTAGAAGGCTCTTCATTGCTTAGAAGAGTGCTGGAAAGTGCTTCGCTTTAATCACACTCGCACGAATGCATAGAGGGTCCTTCAGCTGCATATGCTCGTGTCCCCCTGCATGCATGCATCTCTGCGCACCCCTTCATATTGCAATGTCTGCATGTCTGCATGTGCGTGCATGTCAGGATGTTGGCGGGAGAGGGAGCGCTGCTGTGGGCTGTGAAGCATGCGTCAAATGCCGTTGCAAGGCGCCCACAGGTGTGTGTGTGTGGGGGGAAAGGAGGTGTCTGTGTGTGTGCGCGCACGCGCGCGTCAGTGTGCATGCGTGCTCCAGGGTATCATGTATTTCTCACTAACTGGGATGGCATGACCTGGCAAGTACAGGAGTCTCGTAAGGGCTCTGAATCAGCCAACTCTTTTAGATTCGCTTTTGGGATTTCTCACATTTGACTGCAAGCGTTTGCATTCTATGTTCTCTTTTCATGGCAGGATCTGGTGACAACAGCAGCAGAATCACAGTGGCGCAAGTATATGGGACTTGTAGGGGCTCTGGAGCAGCTTCAGGGGAGAAAGGAGTGGGCAGTAGAGGGGGGAGAGGATCTGGGAAAAGAGCGGATGGGGCAGGGTATTGAGGACAAGGGAGGCGAGGTGGATCGGACGGGAGGTAGAGAGGGAGAGGGAAAGACAAGGGTAGTGGGAAAGGGAGAGGAGGAAGGTGAAGAGGAGGGAGAGGAGGGAGAAGAGGAGGATAGACAGGGAGAGGAGGAGGAGGAGGAGGAGGAGGAGGAGGAGGAGGAGCAGCAGGGCCCGTGGGACACAGTGGGAGCAGTGTGCTTTGAGGTGGCGAGCGGAGCAGCTGCAGCAGCCTCCAGTGGGGGAATAGCTTTCAAGGTGAGCGCTGTTGCTGGGTGAGAGCTTGGCCTCCTCACCCCTTCAAACCCATCCCTCTGACCATCCGTTTCCCCTTTGTTCTTACGTCCCCATCTTTCCGTTTACATGCCACGACCTCTCTCCTTTCTACCTTACACAGACGCCTGGAAGGGTGGGGTGTGCAGCCATGCACGGGGCAGCCTGCTGGGCTGATGCTTGCAGCAGCACCACATCCAACCTAATCAAGTCACCAGCACCAGATTCATTATGCTCTGAGGCTGCTCGAAGGGTCAGTGGCGAAGGTGATTCTCATGGGGAAACTGAGTCAGGGAACGATCAGGAGCAGCAGCAGTGCATGCTTGCTGTGGCTGCCAGTGTATCAGGGGCTGGTGAGCCAATCGTGGAGTGCCAGCTGGCGCGGTGTGTGTGTGAGGCGGCCATGGGAGGTGGTGCGTCTGACCCTGCAGCGATGGGGTTAGCCAGGTTCAATGCACACGTCGCAGCTGTATCAGCAGTATCAGATCAGCATCACCTGTGTTCTGGCACACAGAATGCAGCAGCAGCAGCAGCAGCAGCACGAGCAGCAGTGGCGGGAAGCAGAGAGGAAGGGGCAGTGGCCTGTTGCATCTGATGTTGGTCTGCTGCTGCTCTCTGCTTACCCGCAGCAAAAGGTACTGCACTCATTGGCCTCTCACTCTTACCCCATGCGGCCATGCCCTCCGCAGTTGCGGAGAGCAGCATTCATTTGCTCGTGCAGAAAGTTCATGCTCTTCTTTCTGTGTTTTGTTGACCTTTCCCAGAGTGGTGAGGTTGCAGTGGAGCTGACAGCCTCCTTCCAGGCTCGCTCATTTGGATTTGGAGTGACCTCATCCGCTGACTCTCGGTTAGATGTGTGTGTGTGTGTGTGTGTGTGTGTGTGTGTGTGTGTGTGTGTGTGTGTGTGTGTGGGTGTGTGTGTGTATGTGTGTGTGTGTGTGTGTGTGTGTGTTCTTTTGGGGAATGCTATTTGGAAGTTTGACCTATGTTAGTTTCCTCACATCCATTCCGGTGGGCTTTGTGCAGGTCCAAATTTTGCGAGCTACGGGTTCTAGTCCGTCAGGAAATTCTACATTTATGTCACTCTTTCGGATATAAGAAAGGTGCATTGTTACTATAATGCATCACCCAAGGTGTAAGATACATCTTGAGATGGAACTCTGTTCGTTCTTTAGGCGAACACATTGTGTAGTGCGTCACAACGTTACAAGAGATGTTTCGAAACGCGTAATATTGAAGCGAATCTTCGGTGAATCGTCGGCCACCGAAATTGGCTGGCTCAACGCACGTCGCCAACGACTGGGTTACCAGCCAAACTCTCTCGCGGGCCCCTCGAACACCTGACAGCACAGCCGAAGGTTTTCGTGCGGCTCCTGACAAGCATATGGGATGCCACGCCACGCATCGTGGCTAGAACAACAGGGTAGGTGTTTGTTCGGAGGTCTACCAAAGATTATGTAGTGAATAGCTGATATTGATATGTCAGTCTTATCCTAGTTCCTAGCGATTCCTCGTTCGCGATTGGTTCTCCGCTCAGTGTTCCTGAGATTGTAACTAGCATTCTTTGGCTGCCTTAGCCGATGCGACTGCAAAATAAGTTATTCTGTTTGTAACAGATAAGATGGCGGAGGCAGCGGCTGCAGCAGTGATGTCGCGACGCCATAACGGCGAGCCAGTAGGCGATTCCGGTGACGCTGGCGATGACAGTGACGACGCATTGCGTCGCAGGAGTCCTAGAACGAGCATAAACCGCCATTCTCCAGGGAATTCGCGCTCTTCGCCTAACTCCAGTCCGCTACCAAAGTCCGGATCGCTTCCTAAGTCACCGTCAGACGCATTGCCTGATTCCTCCTCGTCCGCTAACTCTGCCGGTCGCTCGTTTCCGAAGTCATCCTCGTTATTAGACGACCCCGCTAAGTTCGAGGCGTATGAGTGGCTCAACCGACAGCAGGCGAGTTCTTCGAGGTGAGGACGCTCATTCCAGATTATCAATATCGCTTCATGATATTACCTTGTTATACGTGTAGATCACCTGTTGTAGTTAACCACCTTCATCAACCATGAAACCACTAACCACCATCTGTCGCTCGTATAACCAGTAACCACTGTTATCACCCATGTAACCAGTTACCAGCTTGTGTGCTTCCCCTGTGCGTGCAGCTCCGCCAGCAGCAACCTGCCCAGACAACGCAGCTACACCCGCAGCGTCGCCTCCCCCAATCATGCTTCCCCGCGGCACCAGGCGGAACCACCAGGGTCTCTGGAGTTAGGATTCTCAGAACCAGAATCATATGAGGGTCGTGCGTTGGTTGAAGCGATGGTTAACGGCGGGCTGGAGGGGTCAAGGGTTGAGCGGGATGGAAGGGGGGCTGATGTCGTAGATGTTCCAGAAGTGTCAGCGTCAGGAATCGAACCCAGGTCTGCTGCAGAAGCAGGGCGTGCATCTGAGCCTGGCGTGTCTAAAGCTGTAGCAGGAACAGTGACAGGACACCCAAGCTCCGAACCCCCAGGTTCAGGACCTTTAAGTTCAGGGCCCCAAGGGTCAGGAAAAACCCTAGGCACAGGAACCTTGATCACACATACACTATCCACAGAAACCCTGATTACGAAAGCTCTGGGTGCAGGAGCTCTAACTCTACAGAAGACGCCTCAATCGTTCCCACGTTCCTCACTCAGGCGTTCAAGTGTTAAGTCTGCTCGCTCCTCCTCCGCTTCCTCCTCTCGTGGAAAGCTGAGCGTGCGGTGGGCTTTGGAGGAAGGAGAGGAGGGGAGTGAGGGAGTGGGGAGGAGGAGGAGTAGTGTGGCTCGTGTAGAGGAAGGGGATGGGGAGGGGATGGGTGAGGGGGAGGGGCTGATATGCGGGGAGGAAGGTGGGGGGAGAGAGGGGGGGGGGGGGTTGAGGGGGAAGGAGGGGGAGGGGGAGGCAGGAGGCGGAATGGGAAGCTGTTTCGGATGTTGAGTGCCGATTCTTGCGTTGGAGGGGAAAATGGGGGTAGGAGTGGGGCGTATGGGGGGAGGGGTATGGATGAGGGGAGCAGGAATTGGGGGAGAGGGGGGAGAAGTATGGGGGGAAGGGGGGGATGGGGAGGGTCAATGGGGTGGTGGCGGGGATGGGGGAGAGATGCAGCAGAGGGAGGGGGTGTGAGTGATTGGGGGGAAGGAGGATCAGGAGAAGGAGGAGGAGGTAGAAGAGGTTGGGGAGAAGGAGGAGGAGGAGGAGGGGGAGGAGGAGGGGGAGGAGGAGGGGGAGGAGGAGCAGAAAGCAGCGTGGCAGGGGTTGTAGCAGAGGGAGTAGCACTTCTGGATGACGAGGAGGTGGAGAGGATGGATGAGGAGGTCATTCAAGGTACATGCTTCAGATGGGTTTCAAACACCTTCTTCCACTCCCCTTTTTCCTGCAATTCCTTCACATTCCTTTACCCCGTACCCGCTCTTCCCGCCCTTCCCTCCTTGCATGCACGCAGCCTTGTTTGAGCGAGTGGTGGAGGCACAGAGAGAAGAGCGGGAAGAGCGGGTACGGGGTAAAGGAATTCCTTCTCGAGTGGTGGAGGCACAGAGACAGCTGCACCACCACAAGAACCTCCTTGCCTTCTCGCTCTCCATCCCTCCCGTCTCCATTCTTCTCCCCTCTCCCCTCCCCCCCACCCCCTCGTCTTTCGTAAACGCGCAGCCTTGTTCGAGCGAGTGGTGGAGGCACAGACGCAGCTGCACAATTACAAGAACCTTGTCGCCTTCTCGCTCTTCACTGGGCTCTACCTCCTCATGCTCTGCCTTCAGGTGCTTTCAGGTGCCTTCAGGTGCTTTCAGGTGCCATCAGGCGCCCTCAGGTGCCATCAGGTGCCATCAGGTGCCTCTGGTTGCCGTTAGGTGCCATTTCTCATGCTCTACCTTCAGGTGTCATTCCTCGCCTGTGTCTGTGCTGAGTCATTCAACTGCCTTTCTCCTCTCAGCCTGCTTGCCTTGCCTCTCAGCCTCTCACTCACCGTCAATTCTCTCACCCCCTTTCACCTATTCTGACGCACTCCCTGTCTCACCACCCCATCAGGCTCAGTCCTTCCAGAGCTACCAGGTCGCCTCAGCCCACTCCATCCTGCTCCCCCCCGTATGCCCTTCCTCTTTATCCCCTTTCCTCCTCCCGTTTCCTCTTTCTCCCATGTCCTCCCTTTCCCTGTTTCCTCCCGTCTCCCTATGTTTTCTCCTTTCTTCCTATTCTCCTCCCTCTCCTTACTTTCCCTAAATTCAAGTTGAGCCTTTACAAGCCTTATGTTACATAGGTGCTTCACCAAGTTCAGAACTTGAACAACTATAGCATTTTTGGCCCACTTACATAACCTTATACATGTTGTGGCCTCTGAACCTGCTACGTGCTGTGTTGTGTCTTTGTGAGGGGTGCGTGTGTGTTTGTGTGTGTGTGTGTGTGTGTGTGTGCGCGCGCGCGTGCGTGTGTGTGTGTGTGTGTGTGTGTGTGTGTGTGTGTGTGCGTACGTGCGTGTGCATGTCCATGTGTGCATCAGGACTACTCAGGGGATTCGAGCTACTCCTTTGCCAGCAGCAGCGACTTCTACACCTGGCTCAACAACAGCATAATTCAGGTCAGTTCATTCTACAGAGTTCATGGGTCGGTCATAAAGGCAATTTCTGGCTCTTCTGGCTTTAACAACAGCATGATTTAGGTGAGTGCATTTCTTTGAATGATGGGTCATTCGGTTCGGATCAGGTTGAAACTCCACAGGACTACAGGACTACTCAGGACTACAGGACTACTCAGGACTACAGGACTACTCAGGGGTACAGGACTACTCAGGGGTACAGGACTACTCAGGGGTACAGGACTACTCAGGGGTACAGGACTACTCAGGGGTACAGGACTACTCAGGGGTACAGGACTACTCAGGGGTACAGGAACATGACTTTGGGATGGTGGTGACAAAGGCACTGAGGATTCGAGACCCCTCTCCTCCTTCCCCTCCCCACAGGTCATATGGTCAGACCCCCAATGTGGTGACGGCACGGCACGTGCACTCCCCCCATGGAATTTCCCGCGATGGGTCGATTCGGCTGTGCCCAGGACAGTGGTAATGCGTAACGTTACAACGCTACAACGGTGACAAGACACTGATAGAACGTGCCTTCTCCCCTTCTCCCCTCATGCCTCCACCCCGCAGGTCATATGGTCGGACCCTCAGTGCGGAGACGGCACGTGCACGCCCCCCACAGAGTTCCCCGCAGTGGGCCGATTCGGCTGCGCCCAGGACTGCGGTAACGCGCGTAACGTTACAACGGTGACGGTGGCGCTGCGGTGCCATTTCACATCGAGGGAGGCCATGGCTGCCAGTTCATGGAACCTGTGTTCTACTGCCATTCGCGATGTGTGCTGGTGAGATGGCACAGTGAGGGAGTGAAGGAAGGAGTGTGTGTGTGTGAGTGACGGTGGCGCTGCGCCTGCGGTGCCACTTCACATCGAGGGAGGCCATGGCTGTCAGTTCATGGAACCTCTGCTCCACCGCCATCCGAGACGTGTGCTGGTGAGTCCTCTGCTCTGGGTGTTTGTGTGTGCATGAGTGAGTGTGAATGAGTGATTGAATGTCTGTGTGAGTGAGGGAGTTTCATTTAAACTCCTTTCGCTCCCTTTCCTTCCCTCACACCAAGTTCCAGGACCCCAGCTCTTCCCGGAGCTCACAAGCGGACACACTGTCACTGTGGCAGGGCAGGCGCAGTGGCTGCCACACAGTCACAGTGCGCCTTCCCTCCCAAATTCCCACTGATCCCCACACACTCTCCTCTGAATTCTCTCCCTCACACCCTCTCAGGTTCCAGGACCCCCAGCAATTCACCGAAATGACGGGCTGGCACACGGTCACAATGCGCCTGCCCTCCCTGCTAAGCCCCACAGCCTCTCCCCATGTCCATCTCCTCTCCCTCACACCAGGTTCCAGGACCCCCAGACCTTCACTGAAATGACGGGTTGGCACACAGTCACAGTGCGCCTGCCAGACAACGACTGGTTCGTCTCGCTCCTCTTCTCTCCCCCTCCCGCCCTACCCCCCTGTCACACTCTCTCAGGTTCCAGGAACCCCAGACCTTCACCGAAATGACGGGCTGGCACACGGTGACAGTGCGCCTGCCAGACAACGACTGGTTTGTCTCCCTCACCGCTCCCAGCGGTGGCGTGGGCGTCTACGTGTACGAGTCCCTGGGGAGGAAGGGCACAGACACTCAAGAGCCAGACTCGTCCGCTGGTGTTAACAGCTCAGGCTCAGCTGCTGATGGCTCGGTTTTTCCAGCACCGCCGCTGCCGCCACCCCCTGTTTCCCCAGCCTCTTCCCCCGCCACCTTCCAACCATCCTCCTCCTCCTCCTCCACCTCCCGCTCCTCCTCTCTTCCATCCTCCTCCGTCCCAACTCCTCTCCCCTCTGCTTCACCCTCCCACTCTCCGCCATCCACCAAGGAGTATCTGCGGCCATCCAATGGCACGGGAGCTAACGTGTTGCTGGCGAGCGTGGATGGGTGTGTGGAGGACGGCGAGAGCGGTCTGCAGCGGTGCAGACAGGTATGGAGCGGTGGAGAGGTGTTAGAAGTGTGCATGTTGTATTGCAGTGCAATTAGGTGCAGTGCATACTTAGTGTCCCACTTAGGGCGTATCCCTGGGTGGTGGCAGGGACACTGTAAATGGCAGCCTGCCACGAACGCATGAAACGTCAGGTTGGTGTCAGGAAACTGGCACGCAAATACAGGTGCGTGATTAGGCAATGTCCCAAAAATGTCACCAAATTCGAGTTGCGCGCGCCTCGGGAAGAATGTTGGTGGCATGCGGGAAACACGCCTGTCATCAACAGTGCGATGAACAGTGGCCCTGCCACCACCCATGGATACGCCCTTAGCGCCCCACTTAGCACCCCTACTTAACGGTCTCGCTTAACGCCGGCACTTAGCGCCCCCACTAAGCGCCCCGACTTGGTCCGCGCGCGCGCGCGCCGTGGTCCACGGCGCGCGCCTCGGTCCACGGAGCGCGCCTTGGTCCACGCGTGCGCCCTGTTCCACGCGCGCGCTGCGCGCCTGGTCCACGCGCGTGCCCTGGTCTGCAGCGCACGCGCTCTGTTCCGCGCACGGAACCTGGTCCGCGTGCGCGCCTTGGTCCAGGTGTGTGAGTGCTTCCACAAGGGGGCTTCAAGGCTCACCTCCAGCTGCTCGAGAGCATAGGAGGAGAGAGTCATCTGGTGGCCAGTGCAGAGAAGACAAAAGCCGCCGCCCAGAGCGAGCACGTGGTGGAGGGTGAACTCGCTCAGATAGTCCACAGCCGCAGCCAGCGCTCCGAGCAGCACCGGTGGCACCATGAGAGGACCGTGGACAGCACTATGGAGAGCACCACCTCAACTGCTGGGTCTACCTCCTCCTCATTCCTTTCTTTGATCCCTGCCCGATTTCCCTCCCCATCCCCCTCCCCATCTGCACTCTGCTCTCCCTTGTCCTCCCTCTCGCCTCCTCACCCCCTTCTCCTCACTCCCCTCTCCTCTCTCCCCCACTTCTCCCATGCCCCAGACCTGTGCCATATGGACTATCTGTCTCCCGCAACTGTGCACCAGAAGCAGCAGCATCAATGTCAATGCCAGCAGCAGCAGCAGCACGGGCAACAGCAGCAGCAGCGCCGCAAGCACCAGTGCTACCATGTCTCTGCCCATGCGCGTGGCCTCAGCAGCGCTAGGCAGTTGCTTCCAGGCGTGCAACATTATGCTGCCAGGGACCACCTTCGATCCCCCTGATAGCATCACCTGCGCCCAGGTGAGGTAGTTGGTGCATGCATTCCCTTTGTCAGTCCCAACACCAGCAGCGCAAGCACCAGTGCTGCCGCGTCTCTGCCCATGCGTGTGGCATCTGCAGCGCTAGGCAGCTGCTTCCAGGCGTGCAACATTATGCTGCCAGGGACCTCCTTCGACCCCCCTGACAGCATCAACTGCGCCCAGGTGAGATCACACTCTTGCAAGCAGAGGCCTCCCTCCAGCGCTTTCATGAATGGGCAGTTGCTTCCAGGCGTGCAACATTATGCTGCCAGGGACCTCCTTTGACCCCCCTGACAGCATCAACTGCGCCCAGGTGAGATCACACTCTTGCAAGCAGAGGCCTCCCTCCAGCGCTTTCATGAATGGGCAGTTGCTTCCAGGCGTGCAACATCATGCTGCCAAGGACCTCCTTTGACCCCCCTGACAGCATCAACTGCGCCCAGGTGAGATCACACTCTTGCAAGCAGAGGCCTCCCTCCAGCGCTTTCATGAATGGGCAGTTGCTTCCAGGCGTGCAACATCATGCTGCCAGGGACCTCCTTTGACCCCCCTGACAGCATCAACTGCGCCCAGGTGAGATCACACTCTTGCAAGCAGAGGCCTCCCTCCAGCGCTTTCATGAATGGGCAGTTGCTTCCAGGCGTGCAACATCATGCTGCCAGGGACCTCCTTTGACCCCCCTGACAGCATCAACTGCGCCCAGGTGAGATCCACCCCTCTCGCATGCATGTTTGAGAATCTCCATATGGCAGTTGCTTTCAGGCCTCTTTCCAGGCCCCTCATGAGTCGGCAGCACTAGGAAGCTGCTTGCAAGCGTGCAGCGGCATGCTGCCAGGGACCTCCTTCGCCCCTTGTGATGTGAAACATCACCTGCTCCCAGGCTAGGCGATTCTTGCACACAATCTTTTGATGTGTCCACGGGATGTTTTCATGTGCTCGATAATTCTCTCAGGTGCTCAGCTGACCTCTCAGCTGCTTAGATGATTTCCCACATGTGATGTGAAGATCTTTTTCCACATGCGAAGATGATTTCTAGGTGCTCAAGTGGTTTCTCGGGTGCTCAGGTGATTTCTCAGGTGCTCAGCTCAAGTGAGTTGATACATCTCAGAGCCCGCAAATCTTTCCCCTGTTGTCACCTTCCCTCTCAAACACAGTTGTCCCTGGTTGGCATTCACTGTGTTTGAGGCGTATTTCTAAATGCTATTCTGCCCCTACCCTCCCTCCCGCCTCTGACCTCGTCCTGCCCCTACTCGCCTTGTTTCTCCTCCCCCCCCGAACAACATCCTTCCTGCCAGGCCTTCATGTTGTTCGAGGCGTCTCTTCAAACGCCCTCATGCTCCGGTGCTCCCTCTGCCCCTCACCTCCGCCCTTGCCCCTACCCTCCCTCCCGCCTCTGACCTCGTCCTGCCCCTACCCATAACCCGCCTTGTTGTTCCCCCGACAAACAACATCCTTCCTGCCAGGCATTCACTCTCTTCGAGGCGTCTCTTCAAACGCCCTCATGCTCCGGTGCTCCCTCTGCCCCTTACCTCCGCCCTTGCCCCTACCCTCCTGCTGCCCCTACCCTCCCGCTGCCTGCCCTTACCCCTCCCTCCCCCAACCACCTCCCCCCCCCCACCCTGCCATTTCCTCATCTCCAGCTGCTCTTTTTCTGCTGTTGCTCCTTCTCCTGCCACTTCCCCTCCGCCTCCTGCCTGCCTGCATGCCACATATCATCTGATGCCCTTGCTTCAGCTTCTAGGTAACACCTCCGCTAATCCGCCCTCGTGTGTCCTGCTGGCAATGGCATTGGCATGTGTGCAGATATGCTCTCGGAGTCCCCACCAGCAGCACCCTCCCAGCCACCTACTGCAGCAGCAGCACCAACAGCACCAGCAATGTCAGCAGCAGCACCAACACCAGCAGTGTCAGCAGCAGTGGAGACATCAGAAGCATCGAGTTCCCTCTCTGCTCGTTTGCTTCTTGAGTCCTTCGCTCCCGAGCTCCACCCCATGTCCTCCTCCCCGCAACCCTCGTGGCCTGCCATATCTCTATTGCATCCCTGGACTGGCATGGAATCAGTGCATCAGGTACGTGGCAATTCTGTCCACTCCTCCCCATGCTGTCTTTCCGTTCAGTGAATCCCGAGCACCACCCCCTGTCCTCCTCCCCACACTCCTCTTGGCCTGCCGGGTCATGGCATCAGTGCACCTGGTACGTGGCAAGGCCATCCCATGTTGCCCTTCAGGTAAGGTAAAGGTCTGTTCCTCGGTCTCTCTTTGGTTGTTGCTAGATTATTTTGGGCATGATGCTTTGTCATTGAGGTGTTTCAGATGAATCCCACCAACCCGTCCCCTTTTTTTTCCCAACTGCACTGCACTTCCCATCTCCACGTCCCCCCCCTGCCAGCACCACCAGCGGCTGAGGCAGAAGTTAAGGGAGGAGCGGGCCGTGGCTCCCAGCCTCCACCCTCCCAGCCTCCATGCTCCTCACGAGAGTGCCAGTGCTGTTCGCTCCAGTCGCCAGCTCTTTCCCTCCGCACCGACCGTGCCTGGCCCTTTCCTCTCAGGTGCCTCGCCCAGCCCCAGTGGCAACTTTAAGTCTTGAGACGTCTCAAACCTCTTTCCTCCCATGTGCACATCCGCTGCTCTGGTTACTGGTCTGTGAGTCGATGGGAACACGTTCGTCTCAGGTACAATAGCTTTTCAGTCTCTCACCATTCCCATCCTCTCCCGCAAACCCCTCTCCCCACCTGCCCCCCCTCAACCACTTCCTCCCAGCCAATTGCAGAAGCCCAGCAGCTCGTGTGAGACAGCCTTGGGACGTTCTTTGAGTCATTCAAGGAAACACCTCCATCCCTCCATCCCCCCATCCTTCCCCACGCCCCCGCCCCCCAGCCACATCCTCCCAGCCAATCGCAGAAGCCCAGCGGCTCGTGTGGGAGAGCCTCGGAACGTCGGACAGCGAGCGAATCAGGGCGTGCCAGGTGGCGGTGGCGCGGGCACTGTACACCGCAGTGAAGGAGAACTGCCTGGCCGGCCCAACTGATAACAACAGCAGCACGAGCGGCAGTGCAGTGGCAGCAGCAGCAGCAGCAGCAGCACTACCATGACCAGCACCAGCAGCAGCACGGAGCAGTTGTCCTCGCCAGCCAAGAGCCTGTCCCTGGCCTCGCGCAATCGCCTCGTTGCCTTCCTCTGCACTCTCTTTGCTGGGCCTTTCGCCTCCCACCCGCGCTGCAACTTCACGGACGCTTCCTCTGGACGGCAGCTGATGGATCATGCAGAGCTGGTGGACTACATTCGAGCGACACACCGCAGGTAAGGGAAGAGCAGGGTGCCCTCAACTATGTGTAATCAGTGGCAGGGAGTCTATCGTCGTGCACCTAGCTCCTCCTTATTATATCCCAATCCTTCCTCCCCCAAATCCTTTTCATCTCTTCCTCCTCCCACGCCCATCCTGGTTCTCCTCCCTCCCTGCCCCACCCCCCCCTCCTTTCTCCCTTCTTTCTCAGTCCCTCCCAGCGCTTCTCTGCCGCCCAGCAGGCTCTTTTTGTCCGCATTCTCATCATGGCGCTGCAGTCAGTCGTGCAGAAGATGCCGAGCGATGCCGTCCAGGCTGCCACCCACCTGCTGCACGTCTTCAATGACGCTGTGGTCTCACCAGACGCCTCGCCATGTCCCCAAGGTGCATATCTGTTTCTCTCAGACAGATGCCCCCCCTGTTTCTCTCAGGTGCACTCTGTTTCTCTCTCATGCCACCCACCTTCTGCACATCTTTAACGACGCAGTGTCTCGCCAGACGCCTCGCCGTGCCCCCAACCCAAGGGGCATCTCTGTTTCTCTCAGGTGCTCTCGTTTTCTCTCACTCTGTTTGTTTCAAGTTTCTTTCTGTTTCTCCCTCGCAAACTTGACTCAACAGCTTCCTCTTCTACCTACCCACCTCTCCGCTCCCTCTCCCTTCCCACTCCCCCCTCTCCCCTCTCCCCTCTCCCCTCTCCCCTCTCCCATTTCCCCTCTCCCCTCTCCCCCTCCTTCCCCCCCAGCGGACTACATGGTGCTGTGGGATTCAGCATCCTTCACCCGTCGTGTCATATCAGACGGGCAGCGCATCACGTGGGTGTGGAACGACAACGACTACCATGAGCTCTCAGGTGTGGGCAGACGGGAGAGGGAAGAGGGGAGAGGTGAGGGGTGCAGCGGTGCCCACATGGGTGTGGAACGACGACGACTACCACGAGCTCTCAGGTGCGGCACGATGGGTGAAGAGTAAAAAAACACTCTGCTTTCGATGCAAGACTTGGAATGCTACAAATGTAGACATTTTGTATAAAATTGAAAAATGACTCCGACTTACAATGCTGTGGATCTTGCCTCACCGCCCTTGCCATGCAATCACCACGTGGGTGTGGAACGATGGCAATCACCATAAGCTCTCAGGGCCCACAGTGATGACGATTCGTGTGTGAGGGCACGCATAATAACAATAATAGCAATATTTTTTTCTTTGCTTCCCTCACAGCAGGGTCGGCAGGTTCGGAGCCGTTTCTTGGGTTTGGAGCGGGGCGGCTTGGCCTATCACGGCTTGCCACGTGTGCATGGGATAACATCGGGCCGAGAGATGCCTCGGATGAGCCAGCTCCATGCGTGCTTCGTGAGTGCTGCTGATGTGTCATGCCATGCTGGCGTTTTGTGTTATGCCATGCTGACATGTGCTGATATGCATCATTCATGCATGCATGTGTGCTCTTCTTTTCTGTCGGGATGATACGCCACCGCCGCAGTTTCCTTTCACAAAGGTATTTAGCATTGCGATCTATTCAAAATATTAGAGCGAGTGCGAACTGTCAATTGCACTCCTGGCCTCACACCCTTCGCTGCAGGCTCACCCGACGACACATCACCGCCCCAGTTCGCATACACCAAGGTGTTTGGCGCTGCGTTCTTGTTATTTTACATATCATAGGAATTCGACTCTCAACTCACTCCGTCCTTGCGCCCTTCCCTGCAGGCTCTCCAGACGACACATCACCGCCCCAGTTCGCATACACCAAGGTGTTTGGCACGGCGCGGGACATGGCAGTGAAAGACTCTCCTCAGTCGCTCGCGTTCACGCTCATCCGCGCGAAGAATAATTCAGGTGCGCGCATGGATGCATGCATGGATGCATGCATGGATGCATGGATGCATGCATGGATGCATGAATATGCGCATGGATGCATGGATGCATGGATGCATGGATGCATGGATGCATGGATGCATGGATGCATGGATGCATGGATGCATGGATGCATGGATGCATGCATTGATGCATAAATGCATGCATTGATGCATGGATGCGTGGGCGTGTATGGTTTCAGGCTAGCATGTGAGCATGACTCCAGACGTGTGCATGGGTGTTTGTTTGGCACGCCGCACGCCTCAAGACATGGCAGTGAGGGATCCGCCTCAATCGCTCGTTTTCACTCTCATCCGCGCAAGTAATGATTTAGGTGCGTGCGTGCATGCCGCCAATCAATTAAAAACCATAACCCTAATTCCCTTACCCCTGCAATGCAATGTGACTCACTGTTGAGAAGAGTCAGCCCTGCAATAGGCCTCCTTGGACCTTCTGACTCCTATTCCCCTCTCCCCACCACCATTCCCCATCCCCCCTCCCTCCCTCCCACCAACACCCCAGCTCCGAGACTCCCTTGCCCCATACGCACTCCTCCTCGCCTCTCTCTGCGCCCCTGCCTGCCGAATCGCCATGCTGGCCAACGGCCGCTGCGACCAGCCCTGCAACGTGGCTCTCTGTGACTTTGACGGCTCAACAGTCAACCCTGGAACGTGCCTCCTTACACATTTTGACTATACTCTTCCTCTCCCCAACATTCCCCATCCTCCCTCCCACCAGCATCCCAACCCCGCGACTCTCTTGCCCCCTATGAGCTCCTCCTCGCCTCCCTCTGTGCGCCGGCCCGCCTCTCCATGCTCGCCAACGGCCGCTGCGACCAGCAATGCAACGTCGCCCTCTGTGACTTTGACGGGGGGGACTGCGCTTGCGGCGGCGCTGGGAGCGGGAGTATCGGGAGCAGCGTGAGCAGCGGCAGTACCGCTGATGGTGCTGTTGGTGGGAGTGGAGGGAGCAGCGGTGGTGTCACTGGTGGTGGTGCGAGTGGGGGTGGGAGCGTGGGAGGAGGAGTGGGTGTGCAGTGGTGCACATGCCCTGTGCTGCAGATCCGGGGCGATGATGGAGGTACGTGCGTGCTCGCACTTGTTTTTTAGGCTCATGAACGGGTATAGTTTCCCTCCAATCAATCCACACCGTCCTGTGAAGCAGCGGGAGCATGCCCGGTGCTGCAGATTCGGGGTAATGATGGTGGAGGTAAGTGTGTGCGTGTGGTTGTTGCGGTTGTTGTATCTTAGGTTCCGCAAACGATAAACAAGTTTAGACACTCTTCAATCCCCAGCGTACCGTGAGGTGAGGCAAAAGGAGCAGGCACGAGCATCAAGGTGCCCTTCCTCTTTTTCCCTTAATCCTGCCGATCTTCACCCCTCTCATCCTTCAGCGTGCTGTGAGGCAGCAGGGGCTGGCACGGGCATCAAGGTGCCGTTCAGTCTGCGCAGGTTTGGCTTCACGGTGCATTCCCTCGACTCCATGCTCAGCAGCACCGATACTGCTCTGCCGCGCGTTGTATCTGAGTACAACAGGCGAGTCTTTTGAGGCGTGCGTGTGGGTGTGTGGGTTTGGATAACCTCCTCCAAGCCGCTCTCGGCACCTCAGTGCATTCTCTCGACTCCACGCTCTGCTGCACCGATACTGCTATGTCGCACATTGTCTCTCAGTACAACAGTTGAGTGGGAGTGGGTGTGTTCCGTGCTTTTAAGCAGTATGCACCATCTTTGCTGTAAGGAATTTCGATTTCTTAGGAGAGTCAAAAGCCCATTCACGCTCTCCCCTTTCTCCCCTTTCATCGTAGGGTGCAGTTGGGTCTCATCATTGTCAAAATATCGCCCGGACCCCGCAGGTTGTGCTTTGATGCGCCTCTTTCTCTCTCCTGTCGTTCCTGCCTCTCGCCCCTCCCCTCACAGGGTGCTGATGGGTCTCATCATTGTGCAGTACCGTTGGGACTCTGCAGACTGCGCCACAAGCAGGTGAGTGAGCGAGTGAGTGAGTGAGTGAGTGAGTGATTGAGTGAGTGAGTGAGTGAGTGAGTGAGTGAGTGAGTGAGTGAGTGAGTGAGTGAGTGAGTGAGTGAGTTAGTGAGTGAGTGAGTGAGTGGGCCATGCGCATGGGCACTAGCAATTGAGCTGCGTGCATGGCCCAGCTGCCATATGCACATGGTCAAGCATTAACATTCCTGTTCCGTTTGAGTGGCCAGTCGGGGCATCACTACACCCGATAATCCACCTGCTGCTCGCCCAACACTCCGGCTTTCCTCCTCGCACTGCAGGTTTCATTTCCCAAAACGTGTGTGTGAGAGGCGAGTCATCCAAGGCGTTCGGGGTGAACCCAGTCTTCCTGCCGTCCTCCTCTTTCTACAATCCCAACCCCAGCCCGCCTTGATCCCCTAGCAACACCCCCCCTTCCCCCCTCCTCCCTGCGCAGGTTCCACTTTCAGGACGTGTGTGTGAGAGGCGAGTCATCCAAGGCGTTCGGGGTAAACCCAGTCTTCCTGCCGTCTTCCTCGCTATACAACGCCAACGCTGCTGCCAACATGACCGCCTACACCAACGAATCATTCGCCAACCCCTTTGAGCTCAACGCTAAGGGCCTTCCCTACGGTTTCCAGCAGCTGGTGAGACTTTTCAAAGCAGTAGCGTTCTGGCATTTCTGTTAGGGCGTTCGGGGTGAAAGTGGATGCGGTGTTTCTGCCGTCCTCCTCCTCCCTGTGCAACGCCAGCGCTGCTGCCAACATGACCGCTTACACCAACGAATCATTCGCCAACCCCTTTGAGCTCAACGCTAAGGGCCTTCCCTACGGATTTCAGCAGCTGGTGAGACTTTCTCAGGCATTAGCGCTCTGGCATTTCTGTCGGGGCGTTCGGGGTGAATCTGGGCTTTCTGCCGTCCTCGATTCTCTACAACGCCAATGCAGCTGCCAACACCTCACTCCAACCACCGCGTCCTTCGCCAGGCTCTTTGAGAGCTCAACGCCAAGGGGTTGTCGTATGGCTTTCAGCAGCTGGTGAGACTTGCTGTAACATCTTACTTTGTACAACATCCATAGGTTAGGTTCGTGTTTGACGTGAATCTGGGCAACGGAGCGGCCTTGTAGGCGCCTCATAGGATTCCGAGGCACCTACAAAATCTTCCTCCCCTCCTCTCCCCCCACCCACTTTGCCAAATTCAGCCCGGCAGCAGCCGCTTCCCCCTCGTGTTTGATGTGAATCTGGACAACGGCGCAGCGACGCGGCGGCTGCAGTACCTGGTGGATGGGTTTTTCCTTGACAACTACACGCGCAGCATTGACGTCGTGCTTATCACCCGCAATGGTGAGAGGAGAGAAGGGAGGAAGGAGAGGAGAGGAGAGGAGAGGAGAGGAGAGAAGGGAGGCTGCAGTACCTGGTGGATGGGTTCTTTGTTGACAACTACACACGGAGCATTGACGTGGTGCTTATTACCCGCAATGGTGAGATGCAACGGTGGGATGCGGTGATGAGGTGTGCTCATGACAACGGGGTGGCCTCGCCGCGGGTGCAGTTCCTGGTGGATAATTACTCGCGGAGCATTGATGTGGTGCTCAGTACTTGATGTGGTGCGTAACCTGTTGCCAGGTGCAGTAGTTATGATGACAGGTGCGTACTGTAACAGGTGCGTCATGGTAACAGGCGCGTTATGGTAACATGTGCGTTATCGTAACAGGTGCGTAATTGTAACATGTGCGTTGCAGTAACATGTGCGATACGGTAACAGATGCGTTACGGTAACATGCACGTTATGGTAACAAGTGCGTTACAGTGACATGCGCATTAGCATTATGGTAACAGGTCCGTTATGGTAACAGGTGCGCTATGGTAACAGGTGCATTATGGTAACAGGTGCTGTTACCATAATGAAACACCACACAACGCAGCTGTTACCATAATGAAGCTGTTTCCATAACACACTTGTTACTATAACGCACCTGTTACTATAACGCGCATGCTACCATTACGCACATGTTACCACAATGCACCTGTTACCATAACTACTGCACCTGGTTCTTCGTAGATAACTGCTCGCGGAGCATTAATGCGCTGTTCATCATTCGCAACGGTGAGATGCTGTGGGGCTGTGATTCCCTGCCGCCCAAGCAACATCAAATGTTCACTACCACCCTCATCTATGTTCCCTAGTTCCGCTAAACCCCTTTTTCCTCTTCCCCTGTTTCCCGCTTACCCCTGCTTCCTTTGTCCCTCCCCATCGCTCGCCAGCCAACGAGCAACTGTTCACGGCCACCAAAGCCACCCTCTCCCTGCAGCCGGGCGGGAGCATGGACGCTACCTTCCAAATCCAGCCGGTCAACGTGGAGTACTACGACCTGAATGTGACGATCAACGTGATACGGCTCGTCCTGGAGCTGCTGTTCGTGGCCGGCGTCGTTTGGAATGTAGTGGAGGAGGTGAAGGAGATGATGTGGATTTGGAAGGTGCGGGGGAGGTCCTTCTGGCATTACTGGCGTCAGGGGTGGAACTGGGTGGACTGGCTCTCCATCTCCGTCCAGATTCTCTGCATCTGCATGTGGTGAGTGAGAGGTGGTGTTGTGGCATTAGTGATCTGATGTAATGAGTTAAGATTGATTGTGGATTGCTTCTACAGTGAGTGTGGGGTTGGTCTGGTGGTGACAAGTGCAAAGGCAGTCCTTCTGGCATTACTGGCGGCAGGGGTGGAAATGGGTGTATCTCCCCTTCATGCCCGTCCTCTCTCTCCCACGCCCCCACCCCCAATCCACAGGATATCAATGGCAGTGTTATCCGGGCAGAGCTTCAACATGCAGGCACGCTACAACATCTATTACACCCTTGACGAGTACCCGCGCTACTGGGCCCTCCCCAACCCGCCCTCGGGGTATCTGGCTGCTGTTGCTGCTGCTGACAAACTCGGCAGCATCATCAACACGAGCTCTGCCTACTTCGCCCTGCAGGGCATGAAGTGAGTGTGGTGCGGTGAAGTGAGCATCATTCAGTGAGTGCTGCCCTTCCCAACAGTGAGCTGCCATTGCTGCTGCCGACAAACTCGGCAGTATCATCAACACGAGCTCAGCCTAATTCGCCCCTCAGGGCATGAAGTGAGTGCGGTGCGGTGAAGCGAGCACCTTGCAATGAGGCGATTGTTTAGTCGATCAAAAGGTGCAGTTAGCGGGATCCAATGTTGCAGTTAGCAGTCGAGTGCCATGGAAATCAGTGTGCTCACAAGCTGATGGACTTCCAACCGCACATGGGCGTCATCACTTGTTGCATCCCGTGGCCCTGCCCTCCATTCTGTACTTCTCCATTTCCCCATAACAGTGTGTTCATCATGGTTCTCTACATGCTCAAGTGCATCATTTACAGCCTTGCATCCCTCTCTCCCTGTCCCTATCACCCACCACCCACACCCACACCACTCACCACCCACACCACCCACCACTCACTCCACTCACCACTCACACCACCCACAACAGTGTGTTCATCATGGTACTTCGCGTGCTCAAGCTGATGGACTTCCAGCCACACATGGGCATCATCACTCGCTCCATCCGCGTGGCTCTGCCCTCCATCCTGCACTTCTTCCTGCTCGCCCTCGCCGTCTTCCTCGCTTACGCCACCTACGCATACCTTGTGTTCGGCATGACCATGGCTCAGGTGTGTACTGTGTCCACGCTGTGTGTGTGGGTTGCATGCTTGGCTTTGCATGTGTGTGCGGGCAGGCAGGCTGGTGAGCGCCCTTGATTACTTTCTCCACTTCCTCCTCCTCGCCTTCACTGTCTTCCTCGCCCGTGCCACCTACGCATACCTTGTGTTCAGCATGGTCATGTTGCAGGTGCGTGTGTGTGTCAGCTTCTGTCAGCTTCTGCCCTGGGCAGGAGGAAGTCATTGCCACGGCGTCTAATGACAAAACTGTGTGCTTGTGGGATGTGCGGAAGATGATGGGAGGGGGAGGAGGAGGAGGGGGAGGAAGAATGGGAGGAGGGGGAAAAGGGAGGCGGAGGAAGGCGGGGGGCGAAGGACAGTGCGCGAGTGGTGGGTCTCCGTTGTTCAACGCAGCTCATTCTGCGTCAGCGACCTCTCCTCTTATAAAGCTTCCGCACGGCAGTGCAGTTAACTCTGCTCACTTCTCAACCAATGGGGCCTTTCTTGTTTTCACGAAGTGTGCGCCTTTTCATGCTGCCCCTTACTTCTCGCTTCTGCACCTTTTGTGTGCTCCTCTCTTGTGCTCCTCTCTTGTGCTCCTCTCTTGTGCACTTCTCTTGTGCACCTCTCTTGTGCACCACTTGTGCTCCTCTCTTGTGCCCCTCTCTTGTGCCCCTCTCTTGTGCCCCTCTCCCATTTTCACCTTCCTTTCACTTCCCCTCCTTGCTTTTTACCGCTTCTATCTTGCCCCACCACCATTTCAAAACACTTCCCTTGCCCCATCACCAGTTACGATGACTCCATCCGCCTGTAGACCGGAAATCAGTGGAAGCATGCTGTGTTGACACCCTCCAAGCCCAATCATGCGTCTCCCAAGGTTATTCATAGAACGCCCTCTCATTCTATCTCTGGCCCCACTTGGCCCCCCCCACAGCTTGTACTTGTCTGCCCCACCACGCATGAGAAGCATATCGTTTCTCACTTGTCTACCTCCTTTAGAACACACCCCTTTGTGGTGCATGCAAGCTTGCCACATCACAAAGGGGTGTGTTCTATGGCAGGTAGACAATTGAGAGACGATAGGTTGCTCATGCTTGATGGGGCAGACAAGTGCACGCTTATGGGGGTGGGGGGGGCAAGTGGGGCCGGAGTTGGAATGAGACAGTGTTCTAATAATAACCTTGGAAGACGCAGAATTGCGCTTGGAGGGTGTCAATACGGCATGCTTCCACTGGTCCCTGGTCCACAGGCGGATGGAGTCATTGTAACCGGTGATGGGCAAAAGGAAGGGTTTAGAAGTGGTGGTGGGGCGAGACAGAAGCAGTGTAAAGCAAGGAGGGAAAGTGAGCGGAATGTGAGCGTGGAGCGCAAGAGAGTGGCATAAGAGAAAAGCACAAGAAACGTGCACAAGAGAGGTGCACAAGAGAAGTGCACAAGAGAGGTGCACAAGAGAAGTGCACAAGAGAGGAGCACAAGAGAGGAGCACAAGAGAGGAGCACAAGAGAGGAGCACAAGAGCGAGGAGCAAGGGCAGCAGAAAAGGGCGCACACCTAGTGGAAAAAATTAAGGCCTCATTGGGTGAGAAGTGGGCAGAGTTGACTGCGCGGCCGTGCGGAAGCTTCATGAAAGGAGAGGTTGTTGGCGCGGAATGAGCTGCGCTGAACAACGAAGACCCACTACCCGCTCATTGCCCTTCGCCCTCCGTCTCCTCCGCTTCCCTCCTCCCCCTCCTCCCATTCCTACTCCCCTTCTTCCCCCTCCCACCAACTTCCTCACATTCCATAAGCACACGGTCTTGTCATTGAACACCGTGGCAATGACTTCCTCCTGCCAGAGGGAGAAGCTGACAGTTGTGTGTGTGTGTGGGCTGCGTCCATTCTTGATGTCATGTGTGTATGTATCCAGGCAGGCAGGTGAGCCCCCTCACCTCCATCCTCCACGTTTTCCTCCTCGCCCTCGCACATGCAGAGGCGGCAGTAGTTTGGTTTTGTTTCACCCCTTGCTTCACTCTCCTCTCCTCCCTCCCTCCCTCCCTCCTTCCTGTCCTCTCGTTTTCTCTCCCCCCTCCTTTCCCCAATCCAGTTCAGCACCCTATGGTCGTCAATGCAGACCTGCTTCCTCATCATCCTCAACGACAACAGCGTGCAGTACTTTTTCCAGCACATGCAGGGTTGGCAGTACGTCGCAGCGATCATCTTTTGGTTCTCCTTCGTCATCATCTTCTTCTTTGTCCTCTTCAACTTCCTGATTGCGATCATCGTTGACGCTTTTATGGACGTTAAGGTGAGTCAACGCCAGTCAATGGTAGACAACGCTAGTCAACAGCAGGCAACAGTGGTCAATGAGAGTCAGCAGTAGTGATTTTCTGGTTCTCCTTTGACATCTTCTGCTTCTTTGTTCTCTTGAAGAATTGGACTGCTTATCAACACCCCACGCTGCCTATCCTATTGTCACCCTAGGGATGAGCAAAAAAACGAACCGAACATGTTTTTTTTTTTTTGCTTAGAAGTGTTCGCCGAACAGTGTTCGAGGTTCGCCCGAACACGTTCGTGTTGGGGCCGCTGCTGCAATTTGGTCCGCGACGAACACGAACGTGTTCGAGGTTCGCCCGAACACGCCTTCATAGGCGAACGGCGAACACCTGTTTTTGCTTAAGGTGTTCGCCGAACCGAACAGTGTTCGGTTCGCCGAACAGGGGTGTTCGTGCATGGGCGAACGCGAACACGTTCGTGTTCGCCCCTTGCTCATCCCTATGTCACCCTCCCACTCTTCTCCCTCTCGCCCGCTTCCCGCTTGCACGTTTGTCAGGATGCAGCAGCGAGTGCATCGGCGATGTACGAGGATATGTACCTTATTGTGCTGCACTTCCTCCCTCTTTCACACTGATTGTACTATCTTCACCCTCCCTCCTCCCTCTTGCCCGCTTTCCACTCTCGCAGGATGCTGCGGAGAGTGCATCAGCGATCTACGAGGACATGTACCGCATCGTCCTGCACTTCTTCCGCCGCGTCGCAACGCCTTATAGCGAGTACAGCCGCCTGCTGCGGCATCTGATTCGCCTGGGAGCAGTGGACACGGCCCACACTGTCATGGAGGTGAGATCAGCTTAGCAGGAAGGAAGCTGAGGCACATGCAAGAGTGAGTGAGATGCATGCAAGAGTGAGTGAGACGCATGCAAGAGGTGAGTGAGACACATGCAAAGAGACGTCACGCGTGCGTTCATCTCTCTCTCTCTCACACCTGCTGCGACACCTCATTCGCCTGGGAGCTGTGGACACGGCCCACACAGTCATGGAGGTGAGATTGGGTGAGATGAGCTGGCAGGAGGGCAGGTGGTAGGGCAGCTGGCTGGATGGCAGCTAGCAGGAGGGAAAAGAGGAGCGAGTGAGACACATGCAAAGAGACGTGTGTCCAGCTCTATCTCATTCTTGCCGTTCCACCCCATTCGCCTGGGAGCAGTCGACACGACCCGCACGGTCATGGAGGTGAGTGTGAGTGAAGGCAGGGCAGGGCCCATTCTCTCATTACTACTTCCATTGCTCCCTGATGTTGAAATTACCTTTGAGAGTTCTCAAAGGTGGTTTCAGCATGGCAGGGCAGGGCCCATTCTCTCATTACTAGTGCCATTTGACCAAACCCCCAACCGCATTCTCTCTGTGTTCTTATTCCCTTTCCACGCCTCAGAAGAGCCTATGGCAATCGGCACAGCAAAGCCTTGCAAGGAGCCTTCGCCACAGCCCGGCAAGGGAAGGCAGCAGCAGGCATGTGAGCAGTGCTGGGGCCAGCAGCGTCAGCAGCGGCGGTAGTGGCAGCCGGGGCAGTGACAGGGGCAGCAGGAACGGCAATATGGGAAGCAGTATGGGCACCAAGGGCGGCAGCAGGGAGGGCATGAATGGACCAGGGGGGGAGGGTGGTGTGGATGATGGTGGGTCAAGGAGAGGAGGATTGGAGGATGGACGACAAGGGGGAGAGGGAGTTGAGGAGGAAGAAAAGTTGGGGACGGAAGGGAGGGATGCTAAAGCTATGGTAAGGGTGCAACAACAGGTGATGATAGATGGTAAATCTGTGATGAGAGTGCACGGGCAAGGGATGGCTTACGCAGAGGGGAACAATGCCGGTGTGAGTGAGGGAGAGGAGGAGGGGAAGCTGGGGATGGAAGGGAGAGATGGTAAAGCACTGGTACGGGTGCAGCAGCAGGGGATGTTGGATGGTAAATCTGTGATGCGGGTGCAGGGACAGGGGATGTCGGGGTTGGGAGGGATGGTGAACGCTACTTCTGAGGCGCCTCAAAGGCTGCAAGAGGCGGGGGCTAAATCTTCTGGGATAGACACAACCTTTGAGGCACCTCAAAGGTTGGAAGGCGCAGGGGCAAAAGGTCCGATGAGAGTGCAAGAGGAGGGAATGGCAGAAGCAGAACGGATTCAATCAGGTGTGAGTGAGAGAGAAGAGGAGGGCGAGAGGCTTAGGAGAAGCACGGATCTGGTGGGAAAGGGTGGGAGCAGCAGCCCTGAACGATCTGTCAGATCTGCTGCTGAGAGTACAGAGAGCAACAAGGGAAGCACCAGCAGCAGCAGCACCGGTGGCGGCGGCGGCAGGGGAGGGGGCAGCAGCAGCAGAAGGGGGCCGGGGAGTCCAGTGTTGCGAGCGGTGCGGAGGAGAATGAGCTTCTGGCGAGCGGATTCCCTGGAGGAGCGGCAGAGAGTGGTGGCAGTAGGGGGCAGGCACCTCAACGCGCTCTCCCTTTCTGCTATTCTGCAACGTGCACTTGCCAGAAAGGTGTGTTGGTGGGTAGGGTGGTGGGTGGGGTGGGGTGGTGTGTGGGGTGGGGTGGTGTGGGCGGTAGGGGGTGAGCAGCAGGATGAGCTTCTGGCGGGCAGATTCACTGGAGGAGCGGCAGCGGGTGGTGGCGGTGGGAGGCAGGCACCTCAACGCGCTCTCGCTCTCTGCTATTCTGCAACGCGCACTCGCCAGAAAGGTGCAGTGACGGGTGCAGTAGTGGGTGGGGTGCATGGTGAGTGCATGGAGTGGGTGGGATGCGGTAGTGGGTGGTGTGGTGCATGGAGTTGTGCATGGGGTAACAGGGGTGATGGGAAGGTTGTTGCGTGGGCGGTAGGGTGGGGTGATGGGGTGGTTCTTGGGTAAATCTTCCAACTCTCATACCTCTCCTCACCTATCTCAACCCCACCACACCCCACCCAACAGCTGCGCTCGATCCCTCCCCGCTACGCCCACCACCTGGCCTCCATCGACCTGCCAGCTCTCGTCAAAGTGCTTCTCTCCGAGACAGGGGAGAACCTGTCCCGCTCTGACCTCATGGCACGGGCAAGCACAGCAGTGGCCATGTCTCGACAGAAGCGAGATATGCTGGCCTTGCAGGAGCGCATGGGATCCCTTCAGACGGACCTGACTCAGCGGTTTGAGTTGCTCGAACGTGGGGTTTTGGATCGGTTGCCGAAGCAAGGGCATGGTTCGGCGGGTTGGGAGGTTTGGACGGAGCAGGTGCGGCGAGAGGTGGAGGAGGCGAGACGGGAGGCCTGGGAGCAGGCTCGGCAGGAGGTGGAGGAGGCGAGGCGGGAGGCGCGGGAGGCTCGGGAGGAGGCTAGGAGGGAGCGGGAGGAGGTTGGGGAGGTGTTGAGGGAGTTGAGAAAGGAAATGCAGTTGCTTAGGGTGGTGAGGGGGGAGAGGAGAGATGGGGGACAAGGGGAGGAGAGGCCGAAGGAGGAGGGTGAAGGAGTTAGTGTGGAAGGGGGGCGAACGCAAGCAACAAGCAGTGAGAAAACCTAAAGCGTGTTCTGCTATTGATTGTGGTCTTCTATAAAGTATTCTAGTGCTACAGAGGAAGTTGGGAAACTATCCAGAAAAATAGAGGCCCAGCCCGGGGCTTGGTGGGAAGTGGACACCCGAAACTGCTCCTCTTTTTGTATCTCAGATGCGTGGGAACCCATACCGGTACCGTAGTTTTCTCTCACCTCACTGCCTTACCGTAACTCCTAACACTCATATGACAGCAAAGTATGGTACCGTAAGTTCTCTTATCAAGCATCCCAGGGATCAAACTCAGCACAACATCCAGGAAAGCAGGCAGTGAGTCACGACTCATGACCCACCACAAGTGAATAGCTACGGTAGCTACGGGTGCCATTAGATTTTGACCTTACTCTCTCTCCCTTGCACCATTGCACAGGTGGCGGCAGGGTGCCGGTTTCAAAGGTACCATAGGAAAGTCTGGCTGGTGCCATGGCACTACCGCAAATGGAAGGAGCATGGCTCACATGTGTCACAACGGAGACCTCACTCGGGCCAAATCACTCAGGCTAAACAAAGCAAATCACCCAACGCAGGAATCTACGGTAGGTATCTTGGAGGAAAATCGAAGCAAGGCGCTGAAAGCAAGAAACGAGGGGCCTTGCGGTCCCCACAAAGCACGTTGTTGCAAGTCATAGTCGGTCAAACCAAGTCAACCGAGCCAATCCAGTCAACCAAGTCAAGTGAAGAATCACTTGGGGGAGCTGCAAACGCATCCTCCAGAGCCCCCCCCTGGGCCGACTCAATGCACAGCCGGTCAAGCCAAGGTCAAACCAAGTCAACTTAGTCAACAGAGTCAACCAAGTCCGCTGACTCAAACTCAATCACTCGTGGGAGGCGAAAGCATCCGCCAGATTCTCCCCCAGTGCCCTCACCACCCCCTCCACACCACCCAACTCCACCACCCTTTTCTCCACTGCACTCCTCATCACCGCATCCAACTCCCCGCCATCCCTCTCCACCGCATACCGCACCAGAGCGGCCTGGAGGGCATTCTGGGGGGGAAGGGCCCCCAGGGGAATGCCAAAGACGCGCACCCTCTCTACGCAGAAGCGGGGGGGAGGGGGAGGTGCGTTCTGGGGGAGGATGTATGCAGGTCGGTGGGGGCTGGCAGGGGCGGTTTGGGCGAGGAGGTAGGTAGGGAGGGAGGGGGAAGAAGGGCGAGATGGGGAGGAGGAGGGGGAGCGGAGAGGAGAGGTTGAGCGGGAGAGGGTAGGGAAGTGGGAGAGGAGGGAGAGGGAGGAGGAGGAATCCAAGCTGCTGATGCTGTCAGTGCTGTTGCTGTTGTGCAAAGGACCCAGTCCCGTGCTGGTGCAAGGGGGGTTGCAGCAGCAGCTACTGCCGCTGCTACTACAGCTGCTGCTGCCGCCGCCGCTGCTGCTGCTTCCACTGCAAGCCTTGCACGGACTCTCTATAAGCCTCGCACTCCTGTTGCCACTCCTGCTTATGTCACTGCTGCTGCTGCTGCTGCTGCTACTACTGCTGCTGCTGCTACTGCAGGAGAGAGTTCTGTGGATTCGTCTGGCCAGTCTCCCTCGAGCCTGCCTCAGAAGTGTTCGCCACTCGCCCTCCACCCCTCCCCACATGCACCCCTCCCCACCATCACCATCACCATCACCATCATCACCACCACCATTGCTGCTGTCACTGTCGCTCCTACCATTGTCCATCCCCCAGCCACCCTCACTCCCTCCCTCCTCCTCCTCTTTCCCCTTTCTCTTCTCTCTCTCCCGTCCCTCCCTCCTCTCACAAGCTCCTGTCATGCAAACACCACTGCAGGTGCCTTCGTTTGTACATTCTCCCTTCCCCCAATTCTCCCCCCCCTTGCTCCCCCTTCCTGCATTTCCTTGCCAGCCTTCCCCCCACGGGGATCCTGAGAGCAGCAGGCGCACGTGGTTCCCCAGGGCGAGCGCGGAGGGGGGCAGGCGGAGCAGGTGGGAGATGGGGGCGGGGGGCAGGGGGAAGGAGGCGGAGGAGAAGGGGAAGGCGGAAGGGGAGAACCCCACTTGAACCTGAGAGAACGGGGTGCATAGGGGGAATCAGTTAGAGAAAGGGGGGGAGAAAAACGGGCGGAGAAGCAGGAGAGAGGAAGATGGTGGGAGGAGGAGAGAGGAGTAGAAGACGAGTGCGGGCAAAGGGAAATGGACGAGCAATACAGAGTGGGGCCAGTGCGAGCAACAATGAGGGGGGGGTGTGCGAGCAACAATGAGGGGGGGGTGTGCGAGCAACAATGAGGGGGGGGTGTGCGAGCAACAATGAGGGGGGGGTGTGCGAGCAACAATGAGGGGGGGGTGTGCGAGCAACAATGAGGGGGGGGTGTGCGAGCAACAATGAGGGGGGGGTGTGCGAGCAACAATGAGGGGGGGGTGTGCGAGCAACAATGAGGGGGGGGTGTGCGAGCAACAATGAGGGGGGGGTGTGCGAGCAACGGTCACTTTGAGAAAGTTCGGGCAGACGGAATTCCAGATGTCCTGCCCGGAAACGATCTCCACCCCCGTGACGAGGCACAGGGGGAGGTCCAGGCGGAACGTGAGCGACTCGCGCGCCTCCTGCAGCCGGGGGAAGGGCTGCCATTGGGGGAAAAAGAGAAGGGGCAGAGGAAGAGGGGGGAATGGGGAAGCGCGGGAAAGGGGGAGTGGGGAAGGGGAGAAGGCGGGGTAGGGGGAGGGAATGGGAGTTTGGGAATAAGAACCGTGTAGGGGGAGAGACGGAAGAATAAGGGATTTGGAAGAAGGAAGAGCAGTAAGAGGGTTATCGGAAACCAGCGCACACTCTCCTCACCACCTCAGTACAACATGTTGTGAAAAACCGTGTACTGCACACATTTGGCTGAACCTCACCCCATCGCACCTGTCAGAACCGCACCCCACCATACCTTTCATAACCGCACCCACCGCCCGCACCCCATCGTACCTGTCAGAACCGCATCCCACCGCACCTGGCTGAACCAGAAGAAGTCGTCTCGAAGCGTCCATCCGGCGCCCCACCCTTCCTCCTCGCTCGAGCTCCCCACGGCCTGCAGAGGAAGCTGCGGAGGAACCTTCCACTCGCGGTCCAGCTCCACCAGCCCGCGGTAGACCTCCTTCCAGGAACCTTCCGGGACAATCAGCGGAAGGCGGCTGTGTCTGTGCTGCTCGTGCCCCTCCCCGTTTATCATGCCGAGTCGTGGCAAGACCAAATCCTTTTCATGACAGCCGCTATTGCTAGTCGTCCTAGTAATAGTATTATCGGCACAAGAACACCTTTTACTCTTAGTATCCGTGCGCCTGTGGTGACAGCAGTGGCGCCGTACGCGATTGTAGCTGATCTGCGTAGAGCCCGAAACCAGGTGGTGCAACGCAGGGGAGGGCCGACCGGGGGAGGCAGATCCGGGCGAGGGCACAACTGGCGGAGGCAGTAGCACTGGGGAGAACGGCAGCAGCGGCGCGGCGCTGCTAGAAGAGCAAACACCAGAATCTGTGTAAGCCCGCTGCGCTTCACTCTCGTTCGGCCCACGCTGTTCCGCTGCGCGAGGCGGCGGTTGCGGTATTTGTGCCGCTGATCCCGCCTTTGCGGATTGTGACTTTAGCGGGAGCGATGATTTCGCGGCGGTTGCGGGGAGCGATAAAATCTGCGCCACCTTTTCGGACCAGAGCGTGTCGGAAGCTGATGCGGAAAGGCGCGAGCGGAGAGATGTGGGGAGAAAGCATGTGCGGAAAACGCGTGTGGAGAAAAATTGCAGGCGCGCGGAGAACAACGAGGATGTTCAGGGAGGTATTGGGGAAAATTGCGTAGGTTGGAGGGATAGGGGGAAGGAAGCGGGGGAGGGTGGATGCGGGGGAAATGCACGCGCGGAGAAGCGCGAAGCGGAGTTTGATCGGCGATGAAGGCGCACAAGAAAGACGATAAGGCCTTTCGAGTCCACTCACAGAAACATACGAAAGAGAAAGGTAAGAAAACATGAAGCAGAGGCATTTGATCAAGCGTAAGGCGACTCGTTGATTAATACCTGCTAATCGGCGCCACCGCCGCGATACCGCCGCGGCTCGGCAAAGGCAGCGAGGCGGGAGGCAGCGAAGCACCTCGACTGCCACGTCATCGTAGTCCCAGAGCTCCGCGAGGGGCGGAGAGACATCCGGAAGCGCGTGTGTTTCCGCCATTCCAAGGAGGAGTCGCCACTATCGGGAGGAATTCCAGAGGATGGGGTGCATGCGAGTCGGTTTGACGATAGTTGCGGGAATCTAAGCGCGCGTACATGGGACGTTTCGTGTAACACTGGTGAGCGATTTTCCTAACAATGGACGAGAATACTGTTTACGGTCTGAAACCCGTAGCATAGAGGGAAGGCGAGGCGAGCACATATGTATGAGCGGACGGGACTGGACGGGAGTGTCGTTGAGAATTGGCGCGAAATAGTGTGCTTGCCCGGAGTCAAGTCGTCGTAGCCGACAGACAAGGCGGAAATCTCGAGATTTGGGGCTGTCTTGGGGCACCCGAAAAAAGACGAGCGGAAGGAAGGTGGTGTGGTGTCAAAGACAGGTGAATTGGCCAGGGCGGGGGAGGGGTGCTTGTCAAATGTCACGGCGGGCGAATCTAGACTCGACTGGTTTTTCTTCCCCGAAACCGCTCTCATTCAATTTTACTTTCCATACCAATCTCTCTTCAACCCTCCGTATCTATCTCCGCATCTCACATTCAAGTCCAGCCTCCACTGGTGCTCCGCGAAAGTCAGCACCGCACATTTTTTCGCCCCCCCGACAGTTTTTGCCGGTGAAGGTGATTGGTGGAAGCTGGCGCCTGTACGGTTCGAACGAATGGAGGGCGGCGGCACCTGTGCGATTCGAAAAAGGGGCTGTAACCATATGCGCCACGAAAAGGGCGGCGTACCGATGCGGGTGGCGCTAGATACACAGATCTGACCGTCCATTCGCCCAACATTTACAGCTTTGTCCCTCATCGCTCCGATCCAGCACATGGGTTCTCGGGTGTTGCCTAATGACGTGGTGCTGACAGAGTAATGCATAAGCAGTACGCCACTGCAGAAGTCCTCGGCATTATCTGTTGCATTTGCAGTAAGGCATCCCAATGCTATTTCATCTGAGTAAAAGCCCAAGTGTCAAAATGTGTTGAGCTGTGATATTAAGCAATTCTCGTATGTTTTTACTAATTATAAAGTAATAAAAATATACTATACCTTCACAGAGACTGATTTTGTTAAATGTCATGAAGGGAATGTTGTGTAATCATAAAACCATTCCAGATAACGTCCTAACCTGTAACACATGTGGCAGCTTACATCCGTAAAAACGCTCTGTGTACTAACGGATAGTTGAGCAGGCCGACAAAATTTGCTGTCTGATCTGAAAATCCACCTGTACTGTACAGCATCAGTCGGGCGCAGGTGCTTCAGTTTCACATATCACCGCATCGCACAGCTGGCGACAGCCACGTCATTATCATCACTCATCTGCGACTTGCCAGGCGAGCAACTGCCCAACGAGGCTTCATACAAGCCTCGCTGAAGGTCGCATGAAACCATTCAAAGTTTTGTCGCCAACCTCCTTCGCACACACTGGACAATCCAGCCAGCCGCACAACCGACCTACAATGGTTCATCTTATCCCATCTCATAGCGGAACGGAAAACCGCCTGGTGAAAAGCATCGCACCAATCCCTTCAACAAAACTACAGCTGTCCATCTAGCAGGCCTAGCCTGACAACCGCTAGGACAACCCTTTTCATGAGCCATGGCGGCGTAGGTACTAGGGAGTAGATTTTCTCAAGGCCTCAAGGTAGACACAATAGACCTACGATCGTATTCGTCGCAGTCGTACTGGACCCAGGGGCTCGTATATTGCAGATGTTTTTGCTCTGTCACAACTACAATTCCAGATAGGACCACTTGCACGAATGAATAGATTCACTATGAGAACCCTCAGTGCCGTGTTCTCGTGCGTTCTCCTCGCGCTTTTCCTCTCTCCACACAATGTCGAAGCCTCTCACAGTCGCAAGCTCCTAGCTTCCAGCGAGAACCCAGACTACACAGACCTGTTTGACTACCTTGACTCGCAGAAAGGGCAGAACGGCGCCACAACAAACGTCGGCGAGCCAGCAGACCTTCCGAATGCCGCGGCGCAGCAGGCGTTGCTCGCGATAAAAGCGGCTTGGGGAGGCGACTTCTTCGGCGCAGATACATGGGTCAGCAGCATCAGCGACGCCCCTGCTCCATCGCCCGACGCAAGTCCTCCATCCGCTGCTAGTCCATCCGCGGCTAGTCCATCCGAGGCTAGTCCATCCGAGGCTAGTCCATCCGAGGCTAGTCCATCCGAGGCTAGTCCATCCGAGGCTAGTCCATCCGAGGCTAGTCCATCCGAGGCTAGTCCATCCGAGGCGAGTCCATCCGAGGCGAGTCCAACCGAGGCTAGTCCATCCACGGCTAGTCCATCCCCGCCTGGTTTATCTCAGGCAGCGGCCAAGAAGGAAAAGAGAATGGGTGTAGGCGAGCTCGGTATGGGATTTGGCAACATGGGCATGGGAAGCGGAGGGCTGGGACCTGGCGACTTATGGCGGGGTGTTGGTATTGACAGTAACGGGGATGTGGTGTCGCTGGAGCTGCCAGAAAGCGGTGTGAGCGGGCCTCTTCCGTTGGAGCTGTCGCAGCTGACGTCGCTCACCACTCTTGACCTTGGAGGGAATAACTTAAACGGGTCGGTGCCAGCTGGAGTGTTCGCTAGCCTCCCACTGCTTACCGAGATTCTTCTTAACGGAAACAGCTTGGAGGGGAACTTTCCCTGGAACGATATTTTAACGCAGGCCAATTCCCCGTTGATGCTTTTGCGGTTGGACGACAACAGTTTTGTGGGGGGAATTCCCGACAACGCTTTCGAAAACGCCACGCAACTACACTCCCTTACGCTTACTGATAACAAGTTCACCGGTCCAATCCCGTCGAGTCTGGGCAACGCTTCGGAGATTTCGGTCATCGATCTCTCCAGAAATTGGTTCACGGGATCCGTTCCTCCGACCCTGGCAGATAAACTCGCGCTCGAGGTGCTCACACTTAGCCACAACCGGCTTTCGGGGGAGATTCCGGAATTTATTGGCAAGCTGCCCGCGATTGTAAACCTCGACTTGAGCCACAACTGGTTCATCGGTCACGTGCCAGCGTCGTTCTCTTCGTTCGGGCAGTCGCTGAGGGGTTTGCAGCTGTCGTATAACGCGTTGACAGGGCCTTTGCCTCGGTTCACCGGGCTCGGGAAGGAGTGCGAAAACCCCGAGGTGGACAGCGTTTCGTGTTACCGGTTCGAGGTTTTTATCGATCTGAGCGCGAACTACTTCAACGGGAGGGCGGACATGGTCATGCAGATGCCCGGGTCAGAAAGTTTTCCGAAACCCACTTGGGTCTGCCCCTCCAAGGATTACGCGGAGCAGATTTCGGTATCGGGTAACTGTTTAGTTTCTTCGCCAGGGTGCAAAGCGGTGGATCAGCGGAAGGAGGAAACATGTGCGAACTTCTGCGGGACAGGGAGCAAAGAGGGGCAGTGCGGAGGTGCTGGTGTTTGCATCTACGACCCAGCCACCGTCGGGCCGCATGCAGTGATCACGTGTTCGTGTAACCCTGGTTACCAGGTGGATCCAAAAGATCCACAAAATTGTATCAAAGCTTAGTCAGTCTGGTGGGGTGACTTACCCACATCAATCTGGAAACCTGCCCATCTCCCCATCTCCCTCTTTTGCCCCTTCATTTAGGCTACTGCTGCTTGATTGGTTGCTGCCAACCTGAGAGGAGATGCGTGCACATAGAAGGATAAGTTGCATTGACTCTCTGGGGCTGTCCACCTGTTGACTTATGACCCTGAGCACTACTGGTGGGGGAGCTGTGTGTGCTGCTGCTTGCACCAGGCCTTGGTGTTACCTCCTCGGCTGTTGTAGGATAAGCGAGGCTGTTGATAGATGTGCTGCTGTAGCCTTTCCGGCCTAGGTATAAAAGTACAGTACACTGATTTTGCTGGCTAATGTTTTTGCTGAAGAGAGCATCCTGCCCTGCTCCTGTCTTCACATGGTTTGTGGCTTAATATACATAGGCTACAAGAAGTACACCTCTTTTACACCTGCCGCCACTCGGTCTAGTGCTAGTGTTGACACTTACCCTACTAAGATTGACACCTCATGTGGCATTTGAACTGCCAGAATCCTCCTCTGGTCAGCATGAGCTGCCTTGCACCAGCTTTTTTCTGATGGGACTAGCACTCAAAATGTTTCCAGGTGTATTGGGCCTCTCGGCACTACACCAAAAAAAAAATCCTCGGGTCAGCAGAATGTGGCTGCGACCAGGTACATTCAAACACTACATGCAAGCCCATGCTCTATCATGCACTAATTGTCTCACCTACCACCAAGCAAGACTTCTTTAGAACTCCTCGATCTTCCCGTCAGCATAAAAGTGCCCGGTACCCGCCTTCTCAGGAGGCAGGAGCGACAGGAAGATGGCCGTGTCTGCTCCCTCTGCTGTCTTGCGGTCGCAACCTCGCAATACAAGTCACAAAATCCCTCTAAAACTCCTCAATTGCCCTGTCAGCATAGAACTGCCTGGTACCCGTCTTCTCAGGGGGCACCAGCGACAGGAAGATGGGCGTGTCTGCTCCCTCTTCTGCCGTCTTGCGGCCGCGCCATGATGACATGTCTGTTGCACACCACCCGGGGCAGCATGCATTCACAAACACCCTGGGAGAGCAGGGCATGGGGAACGGGCATGGAGAAAGGGGCATGGGAGCAGTACCATTATGCAAAGCAGCGACAGCAAGATGGGCGTGTCTGCAACCTCATAGGCTGTCTTGCAGCCACGCCATGATGACATGTCTGTTGCACACCACCCGGGGCAGCATGCATTCACAAACACCCTGGACGGGGGAAGGGGGAGAGCACATGGGGAGGTGACGCCATGACGAAAGTACCATATGAGCGAAACACGCATGTGCACACCAACCTACACGAATTTATAAGCCCACTTGGTTCACTAGAAGCTTCCTTATCCGACAAAACTCACTTTTCGCCTTCCTGCCGCCCCTCCATCTGCCGTGCAAGCACGCGGGTGTAGGTGTTCTCTAGAAGCTTCGACACGCCATACATGGACTCGGGCCACCCGGCTCCCTTATAAGTGCCGTCTTCTATCCCCTTTATAAACTCCTCCGCTAGTGCATCCAGGTCAGAAGCTGTGAGGGTTGGGATGGTGAAGCGGGCCTGCGGCAAGCAGACAGAGGCGGCAGAGGGAGGAAAGGAGCAAGATTAGATTTCTTTTAAAATCTTGTGACAGGACTGAAGGGAATGAGGGGAGGAAGCTAACACGACAGTGGGAGGAGAGGTGCAGACAACCAGAGTCAATGAGAAGAAAGACATGAACCCTAAACCCGAAACCCTAAACCCCAAAGGCATATATATACACATAACCGGAATGATGAGTTACCTTGAGTGCGGGGGAGACAATGCGAAGCTTGCCTGCACTTGAGCCCACATTCACTACGCGCGCCCCCGCTGGTGGGTGAGAGAACAAGTTGAGGAGACACGAGAAGGGGAGAGCAGGAGAACAGACGATGATAAGTGAGTAGGAGGGGAACATGGCAGAAGACAGGGAAGGGGAACACGGGCAGCTGCTACCAACTCACCTTTGGAGGGGCGCAGCAGGGGCAGCAGCGCCTCACACACAGCCCGAGTGCTCCTGTAGTTGGTGCCAGTGGTCCTGCTGGCCTAGTGTGAGTCAACGCAACACACACCACCTCGCTCACCTTTGGAGGGGCGCAACAGCGGCATCAGCGCCTCACACACGGCCCGAGTGCCTCGGTAGTTGGTGTTGATGGTGTTCCTCGCCTCCTCTGCTCCAAACGTGTTCCCCTTATAAGCCATCCCGGCATTGTTTACAAGCACGTCCAAGCCCCCATGCGTGTCCTTGAGCCACCTGCATCAGCAATGGTGAATTAGTGGAAGCAAGAAGACGGCTCAAAACTCGAGCCATCTGCATCAGCAAGCGTGAATACGTGAAACCAATGAGACGTCTCAAAACTCGGGCCAGCTGGAGGTGCAAACAGATAAAAATTGCAGCCTGTGTTAACCCACAGATGCAGGATGCACCGACAGAATTACACGATTGACAATTTGTTAGCAAGATAAGACGTCGAGCAATCACAGGTGATAACCAAGCTCGGTGCTACAGAAGAGGGGCTGAGCAATCATTGCACCGTGCAAAGCTGTCGATCGATGATTGGTCGCTGATATCCAGCTGATGAAACTCCACCTCCTGCAGCCCCTCCCCCTGAAGCTTCTTTACAGCTTCCTGCCCCAGCCCCGGGTCGCGGGCGGTGAGCACTGTAGTCAGCCCTTCGCCAGCCAATCCCCGTGCGATGTAGAACCCGATTCCTTTATTCGCCCCCGTTACCACCGCCACCGCCGGCCGCCCTTCGAGCGCCCACGCGTTCTCCATACCCGCCCCAGGCGCAGCTGTTGCGCCGCCGGCGGTAAAAAAGCGTCCGATCGCGCGTAGAAAGGGCCCGGGTGTTTGAGATTCGGCGCGAGTCTGCGCGGAAAAGGAGGTCTGCGCGGAAGGCGGGGAAGGAAAAAAGATATGGGAGCGGAAAGAATCTAAAGGCGACGAATTACCACGTAGACCGCGAAGAAGAATAGTAGTTTTGCGACCTAGATTCTACCCGCAGCGGGTGGCGGCGGGGCGATGGGCTCACCGCGATGCGCGGATTCGAGTGCAGTCGCCGCAACGCGGAGCCGACAAAGCGCGGTGTTCCGGCTCGAACGCCTTGCGACGACGGCAAGCGGGATAATCCCTTGGCTTGTATCGAAGGGACGAGCAGCGAGGCGCTAGACGCGGCGACAGGGGCTAGTGCGGCAAACATGGGCGATCAGGTTCAGCGCTTTCAGTGATGCGGTTGCAGCTGGCTTGACGTCTTGGGGTACATGCTGGGGGGTTGGGAGAAGCATGATAATTGGCGGCGGTGGGATTGTTGTGTGGTGTGGGGGTTAGCAGTGATGGTAACAAAATTTGCGAAATTTGACCCCTCGCTCACAGCTGTCGTGTCTGGTACCAGGCGTTTCGCTTGTGACTTGGAACGGCACGTGTCGCAATGTGAAGTATCGGGGGTGCTTCCGTTGCTTCTCGAAGCATGGCTTACGTACTCGTTTTAAGCACCGTCTAAACGAGTCTCTTTCACTCTCCAAACAAGGTTTTCAATTACTCAGATTGTAACTTCAGACATCTCATGACGAGCACGTATATGAGGCCTATTTGGCCTTTCCATGAATTGCAGCTTGTGCTGCAACTAGAAAATTGTATTTCCATATCAACCCCGTCCTAATGGAGGGAACAGCACGCTGTCTATGCCATGGATGGCGAGTGTGGGGCCTAGGTACACGTCAGCAGCAACTAAGGTTGCACGAGGCCCTGCTGCCACAGCGCCTTCTGGTTGAACAAACACCACATAATCAGGCGTTCCGTCCGCCTTCATTACAGTCACCTTTGATAAAGGCGAACCCTCCAGGGTGGGAAGCGGCTGATCATCTGGGTGGGCCAAAATTTCACTATACGTCATGCGAGTCGCGAGCACCGTGAACTCGGAAATCCGGACGCTGTCGTGCGCGTTAAAGGCATCATCGCTAACTTGCACGAGAGCAGCAGAGCTGGGAGCAAGAATGGTAAGATTCTGACGGAAGAGATCGTTGGGGCCTGTGGACACTGGCACACGGAATCACGAAAAAAGTCGGAGAGGAGAAAAGGTTAGGAGGGACAGAACAAGTCCGAAAGAAATTTAGAAAAGCCTCAGCAGCAGGAATCTTGACACAACGTGTGTAAACGCACATGCGGGAGCTAGCGTTTCGAGGGCGTATTTGGAGAAGCCATGGATTTTCAGCAACGCGGCGATCGCATCCTTCAGCTCTTCCCGATACGACGCTTGCGATGCTGGTTCGATTATTGGTCGGCTGCTGGAGGACAGGGTGAACAAATTGGCTGCGATTACTAGGAACGCGGCGAGGCAGCCAAACCATTGTCGTGTTCCCCAACGCGAGAAGCACGTCATGATGCATGTGCTGGACAACACGCGCTCATTCTATGTCACCATAACCTGCTTGACTGTCAAATGGGGCACTGCTTGCTGTACGCACTAGGCGGAAATTCCTCACTGAAGTGGCTGGATGCGAGGAACGCCGTTCTGTAACTAGACTACAGAGGTTGCTGATGCAGTTTACAGTAGCTGGGACTGGAAGACCGCGGGGAGGGCAAGGGGTAGGAAGGAGGGGTTGGTTGTTTGTGACAGCTGCTGCAGCAGCCTGCACCTCAGTCACCAGCAGCCTGCGCCTCGGACCCTCACAAGGGTCTCGCCCATCCAACCCAACCCAACCCAGTCCAACCAACCGGGCTCCCAAGTCGCGGGATCAAGCTGTTTGCGGCTTTCAACCAAGCAGGAGATACGTGACAAAAACGCAAAGGACCGTCACAGTGAAACGCAGTACAAGCGCTGACCTAACAGCTGCATTCCTAGAATGGTGTAGTAGTAGGGTAACATACACCTGTGGAATCAAGAAAGTCCCACTTTACCGGTACGATACTGGTATTCGTGAATTTATCTGGCTACCGATTACTGTGCTTCTGCTAAGTTCAGGACTTCAAATATCAGCATAGATGGATGATTTCTTTGATACACAACATAATACAGAGAAAGCATACACAATGTGGGTATCTTGACACCCGCCTCTAGCCACCATCAAGAACTCAGCACCCCCAGGCTTAGCACACACACGATACAAATACAAGACTACCCACACCCACAGTCAAACGCCACATCTCCTCAAAGCAGACAGACAGATAACCCTACAAACGACTCACAGACGGTGCTGGACAGACTACATCTCACAAGCAGGATTGGTAAGCCAGCATATTGCTGCACTGCATCACTTAGGAACCTCTCCAGCCCACACCTCATGCCGTGGCAGGCTTGGTGCAAGTCAAACCATCAGCAGAAGCCACAAAGCCCTCCTTGCACCGACATCCCGCCTTACCACCAGCTGCATCCCAAATACAGACACCACCACCTCCACACTGAGGAGACCCTGCGCCTGTCCCACAGAACGCAGTGCATTGCGCAGCAGCCCTCTGCGACTTGGCTGTGCAGGTCGCAGTGGACACCAAGCAATTTCCCTGAACAGAAATGTCATTTGGAAAGTCTTTGCCTGGGCAGATCACGTCGGTCTTGGGCGTGCCCGTCCAATTGGCCGCCTGGATTGTCATCTCATCCTTCCCGTAGAAGTAGTTGTTGCTCAAATCAATGACGCTCGAGAACCTGTAACACGAAACAGCATCGGAGCCCTTGGGGCCGCACCCCCTCCCTAGGTTTGGGAACTTGGGCAAAACTCCAGTAAAGTAGTTGTTCGCCACTTTGAAGGCCCGCAGCGATTGGCCCAGATTGGCCAGCGATGCGGGGAGGAAACCGCTCAGCTTGTTGTTGCTAACATCGAGGTTCATGATCGTCGTTGAGAATCCGAAGGTCGCCGGCAGGTAACCGGTTAGCAGGTTGTTGCTGACGTCAAACACCTCCAGCCCGTCCATTTGGCCAAACGCGGCCGGAATCGCGCCGGTCAGCTGGTTGTCAGACAAATCGATGACTGAAAGAAGCGGGCAGCCCGACAAACCAGTTGGCATCTGTCCGGTAAACTTGTTGCCGCTGGCTGTGAAGGCTTGGAGATTTGGCGCGTTTTGGAAAAGGGTGTTGGGAACACCACCGATGAAAGCGTTCCCGTCGATTTCAAACATTTGCAGCGGGGAATTCGCCTGCCCGAAAAATTGCCTCCACGGAAACAGCCCCGAGAGATTGTTATCCGCGACATAAAACTCCTTGAGGTAAGGCATCTTGGAGAAAACACCGCGAGGAACCTCGCCAGTCAGCTTATTTTGACGGAGATCAAGCGACGTGAGGGCCGTCAGTGCAGCGAACGCCACGGGCAACGGTCCTTCGACGCCCGCGGAGACCAGCCGCATGCTGACGACGTTCCCAGAGTCGTCAATCTCGAGGCCCTCCCAAGCGGATGTGTCAGTACTGCCCTCCTGCCAAGTGGAAGCTGCGTAGAAGCTGCTCTTCCAGGCGGCTTTAATCGCCAACAGGGCTTTCAGCTGCGCGGAAGCGGGAGAGACAGGCCCCGAGACGAAATCGTCAAAACCGATATAGTCAGCATTGGGGTTGGTGGAGGAAGATTCGTCGCCGAACGCGGAGGAGAGGAGGCGGCGCGAGCCAGCCGCGGGGTCACGCACGTGGCGCAGGCCGCGGCGGGCGTGCATGCGGTGCAAGTGGGGGCGGTCGTACGTGCGGGCGAGGGCGGAGGTCGCGAGGGTGAGGCATACGAGCATGGCGAGGAGGGAGCGCGCCATGGCTCCAAATGTGAACTGCCTACGTGCTGCCGGGATTCGCGTAGCAGATGCGATACTATCCGTACGGAATGGCTGGGAAGCTCGGCTAATAACTACACGGTGTCACTTGGAACTAAGAAACGAATCTTGACTGTGAAGGGGAAGCGCCCTGATCAATCTTAACTGGGTGGAGCAAAAAGACGCATCTACTTATGTCACGAGATATCGAAGTACTATAAGGGTAGATAGTCGTTTAGTTACCACAGCCTGCGAAACCGTGGTTCTCGGCCAGAGCTGTGAGGCCCAAGATATGCCTGGGATGCGGTAACTGAAATCTAACGACGAGAAAATTTCTGCTGTGGTATGACATGAAGTCTATCCCAGACAGAAGGGTGCGGTGGTGAGGTGATGGTTGTGCCCCGCGGAGCCGTCCAGAAACGCTCTAGCAGAGATGGAATGGAATGGAACAACAGTAGCGAGTGCTGTACAACACAGCACCGCCAATCATCAATCAAGTTCAACACTACCTCTTTCTCGTCCTCAGCTGGTCGGGACTCGGGGGAGCAGAGCAGGTACGCATTCGCTAGGCTGCGGAAGGGTTCTGCAGGTGTTCGGGAAAATGCGCCCCCCGCCCCCGCCCAATCATGCAGCCATCCTCTTCACCCCCCTTCGCTCCGCGCGTTTCCCGCGCAAAGAATCTCGTCGTGTCGTGCGGTCGGGCATTCCTTCTTTTGCCCTGCGCTCGGACATGGCCGCAAGCCTGGTCAGGTTGGTGTTACCGCAGGTTCAGGCGTCTCATCAGCTGGTGTTCTGACGAAATTCGTTGGCGTCGTCAACAGATTTCGCGACGTGCCCTTCAACCTCGCCACCACGAAGTGTCACGAAGGTTCACGTCGCTTAATTGCAGTACCTAACCCATCTAGAGAATATGAACCGCTCTCTGACACTTTGAAACTTACTGAGCCGCATGAGAACAAACGCCGGTTACGCTGATTGCGGAGGGAGGATGAAGTGCCTGGTTGCGAACCGCATGGTTCTGTTCATGTTCAGGTGTGTTGGAACCATTGCGACCACAAATTGCGGCGATGGCCGGTTTTGGGACAGGAGGATGTCGGCCGCCGTCCGCAAAGGCGTTAGTTCTAACGGCAGCAGTTGCAAGCCAGTTTCGTTATGAAAATTATTCATTTTAAAAAATGTAGCAGTGAAGAGAGTTAGAAACACAACTGGCGTTTGTATACTAGGTCCATAGCCCTAGAGTTTGATTATGAACGGTAGTGTTTCGCTCAGCAATAATGAGACCCAAAACAGAGAAAAACTGGGCAACTTGGTTACGAAGAATCACAGCATTCCAATAATGCAGAGGCAGTGGCTCAGTCAGCACTTCAGCTGCAACCAACCCATTTTCATTTTCTCCTTAAGAGGCTAAACATGTTAGCACCACAGAAGACAAACAAGGCTCCACAATAAATACAAGACAACACTAGCTCGCCAGGTGAAGCAGCTCCGACAAAATAGCCTCCTGAACAAACAGCAAACACCTCCACCCCTAACATCTAGAGTTCACCAGACGGAGCAGGAGCTGATGCTGCTGCGCCAGCTGGCGCTGCAACTCCGCTGTCTGCTCTTCCAACCGAAGGTCCCGATTGGTGAGCTGCCGCTGCAGATTGCGGAGAGCAAGCCGCTGCATCTGCACTTCCCCCTGCAGCTCCGCCAGGCCTTCAGCCGACACTGTCGTGCTCTTCTCGATCCGGAACACCTCTTCCTGCAGGAACCAAGAAGACATGGAGGTTACACATAACTATTCACGAGGAACAAAGAAGACAGAGGTTACAAATTACCATTTATGAGGGACAAAGAAGACAAAGAGGTTACAGATAACTACTAGGGTATATTGTGCTCTCAACTGCGAAGTATTCGATATAGAGAAGATGGAAAAAGGAGGACAGGTGTACTATACAGATGTGCCTTTTATTATTACAAGGTCCGCATCGTTGTCAATATTTAAGCCTCGAAAGCCGTCTCATGTTTTGAGGCGCCTCACAAAAAGCAAAAGAGGTCGGAAAGACAGAAAAGTAAACAGTGAGCGCACCTTCATGACCTCCAGATCTGCCTCCTCGTCGGTGCCTTGCCCCGGACCACGCACCACCGACCCCATCTCCTCTCCAAACTGCGCCAGAATGATGTCCGTCAACTTGTCAGGCTTGATTCCTGGCCCTTGATCCGCCCTTTCCTGCCATTGAGGAAGGTGAGCAAGAAGAAAAGGAATAAGAAGAGTGCAGAGTCGACCCCATCTCCTCCCCAAACTGCGCCAGAATGATGTCCGTCAACTTGTCAGGCTTGATTCCTGGCCCTTGATCCGCCCTTTCCTGCCATTGAGGAAGGTGAGCAAGAAGAAAAGGAATAAGAAGAGTGCAGAGTCGACCCCATCACCTCCCCAAACTGCGCCAGAATGATGTCTGTCAACCTGTCGGGCTTGATTCCTGGCCCTTGGTCCGACCTTCCTGCCGTTGCAAGAAAGAAGACAGCACAGAGACGGAAAAGGAAGATGGTGAATGGATGGCAGGCAACGCGCTCCGGAGAAGTCGAGGGCTATTGAGGGGCATCAGAAGGCGGTTGACAAGCGCTCCCACCCCCCTTCTTCCACGGTCCACCCACCCACCTTATTGCCCTTGAGCAGTGAGAATCGGCGGGAAGAAACACCTGCAGGGCAGCGCTGCAGGCAACGCTCGAGAGAGCACCGCCGATAGGTTATCGCGGCGCCTCACAAGTCACCCACCCAGCGACCCATCCCCCTCCAATACCCACTGAATCGCCCTTTAGCAGCAAGAATCGGCCAAAAGAAACAGTCGATGGATATTGAGGCGCCTCAAAAGTCACCCACCCATCTCCCCACCCCCATTTTTTCACCCACCGTATCGGCCTTGAGCAGCGAGAATCGGCGGGAAAGAGAACCCGCGGGGCAGCGTTGCAATCGGCGCTCGATCACCCTTGATAGGTTATCGGCCGTGTAGCTCCGGTTGTTGACTCGGAAGACCCGGCGCGGGCGGGTGAGGTCCGGCTGCGGGCAGGCGGTTGGGAAGCTGAAGCAGCTGTCGAGATCGCTGAAGCTGCCCTTGATGACCCTTATAGAGTGGGCCAGGGAGGAGATCTGTGGTGGAGTGGTGGGAAGTGGGGAGGGGAGAACAGGCAGGTGAGTGGAGAGATTGAAATGTGAAGCCGAAGCAGCTGTCGAGATCGCTTGAGCTGCCTTTGATGACCCTAATAGAGTGGGCCAGGGAGGAGATCTGTGGTGGAGTGGTGGGAGGGGGAGGGGCGAAGAACAGGCAGGTGAGTAGAGAGATTGAAATGTGAAGCTGAAGCAGCTGTCGAGATCGCTGAAACTGCCCTTGATGACCCGTATGGAGTGGGCCAGGGAGGAGATCTGTGGTGGAGTGGTGGGAAGGGAGGAGGGGAGAACAGGCAGGTGAGTGGAGTGATTGAAATGTGAAGCTGAAGCAGCTGTTAAGATCGCTGAAGCTGCCCCGGATGACTCCTATAGAGTGGGCCAAGGAGGAGATCTGTGGTGGAGTAAGGAAAGGATGAACAGGCAGGCGGAATGGGCATGGCTTTTGAGGTGCCTCAACAGCATGATGGAACACCGCACCACTTTTATTCCAAGCTCAAAGCATCAACAGCATGATTAAACACCGCACCGCTTTTATTTCAAGCTCACCGCATCAGCAGCAGCACTGAGAGCACCTGCTGAAGGAAAAAGAAAGGTACCTGCTTGGTGTCGTCCTCTGCCCCCAGAGCAAGCAGGTGCCTCTGCAGGCGCCTTTTGAGTCGACTCAAATGTCACCTCATAGCAAGGCAAAGGAAGGTACCTGCTTGGTGTCGTCCTCTGCCCCCAGCGCAAGCAGGTGCCTCTGCAGGCGCCTTTTGAGTCGACTCAAATGTCACCTCGTAGCAAGGCAAAGGAAGGTACCTGCTTGGTGTCGTCCTCTGCCCCCAGAGCAAGCAGGTGCCTCTGCAGGCGCCTTTTGAGTCGACTCAAATGTCACCTCGTAGCAAGGCAAAGGAAGGTACCTGCTTGGTGTCGTCCTCTGCCCCCAGCGCAAGCAGGTGCCTCTGCAGGCGCCTTTTGAGTCGACTCAAATGTCACCTCGTAGCAAGGCAAAGGAAGGTACCTGCTTGGTGTCGTCCTCTGCCCCCAGCGCAAGCAGGTGCCTCTGCAGGCGCCCAGGCTTCCAGTAGCGCGTGGAGCAGCGGATGGCGTAGCTTCGAAAGACACGCCACATGTCCAGGAAAAAGGACGGTGAGTCCTCTGACTCTTTCTGTGCGTGTGGGAGCCATGGGAGTGGGAATGGGAATGGCAACGACAATGGGAGTGGGAATGGGAGGGGTGAGGAGCAGCGGATGGCATAGCTTCGGAAGACACGCCACATGTCCACAAAGAACGAGGGCGAGTCCTCTGACTCTTTCTGCTCACAGGGGAATGGCAGTGGCATGGCAGAGGGATAGGGCAAGAAAGGAGGGCAGTGACATTGGGTTGGGCGAGAGGGGTGAGAGGAGCAGTGGATGGCGTGGCTTCGGAAGACACGCCACATGTCCAGGAAGAAGGACGGTGAGTCCTCTGACTCTTTCTGCCATGGAAGAGGGAGGGCAGAGGGAGGGCAGCGGCAGTGGCATGGGAGAGGTGAGAGCAGCAGCGGATGATTGGCATAGCTGCCGGGCCATCATCACACGTGCAGGGCACACAGCACATGTGGAGGAAGAAGGATGGTGATGAGACCATTGCACACATTGTAGTACCAGGCAGTCGCTCACCTGCACCTCCCTCATGTCATCCACCACAATGGCAATGAGCATGCTGAGTAGCACAAACACCATCACCACCACAAACGCTGAGCAGCAGCACGTTGCATGCACACATTGTGGGATCAAATCAGGAGCACTCAGCTCACCTGCACCTCCATCATCGCATCGACCACAATAGCGATGAGCACGTTGAGCAGCACAAACACCATCACCGCCACAAACGAGATCCAAAACACCATCGCAGCTGCCAGCGGCCACCCCTCCAGCTGAATAAAATAATACCCCGTGGAGTTATCATTAATTAAAATCAAGAAACAGGAAACCATGGACATGGCGAGGGTATTGAACTGCTCTAGGGTTCGGCCGAAGACTGCGTAGGCGTAGACTGAGAGGCCGACGAAGACGATGGCCCAGAGGAGCAGGAAGTGGCCCAGGGAGGGCAGCGCTGCTGCCATGGTGCGCGTGAGGATGGAGATGCGCGGCTGGAAGTCCATCAGCTTGAGGAGACGCAGGGTCATCAGGAAGACGCTGGGGTGGTTTGGGGCGAGGGGAAGGAGGGGAAGAGGGACGAGTGTTTAGCAGGGAGTGAGGATGGAGATGCGTGGCTGGAAGTTTACTGGCAGTTGGATTAGATATTAAAAGGCTGTTACAGAAAGAGGAGAGGAAATCGCGAGGTGACTCACTTGATGCCCTGCAGCGCGCGAGGTGACTCACTTGATGCCCTGCAGCGCGACGCAGATGGAGCGCCAGGGAACAATGTGCTCTATCTGGTTGTACGACTTTTGAGACGTCTCAATACACGCTGTGGTGTCTGGATCCTAAGCATCAGCCAAGTTTGGACCCTATGGCAGCACTACCCTAGTGCTGTAGGGGACTCACTTGATGCCCTGCAGTGCGACGCAGATGGAGCGCCAGGACACAATGTGCTCTATCTGGTTGTATACGCTCATTGCTGCCAGGTACTGTGTTGGGGGAGATACTACCTGTGCGAGGGAAGGCGACAGGTGGGCGGGCAAGGGAAGGGAAGGCAAGGAAGGGCAAGAGATGGGAGGGAGGGGCAGAGCAAGGGATGAGAGGCAAGGGAAGGAGCAATGTGCTCTATCGGTTGTAGATGCTCATTGCTGCCAGGTACTGCTAAAGCACAGGTGGCGGATAGGTGCGGGGCAGGTGCGGGGCAGGTGCGGGGCAGGTGCAGTCACCCACCTGCCAGGGGAAGGGTGTGTCGCCCAGCGAGGCGTAAATGTTGTAACGCGCCTGCACTGAAAAGGGCCCCGACAGCTGTATGGCTATGATGAACCTGCCGTGCATAGGGAACGTGACAGCACGCACGCAGCAAGAGGCATGGGCGTGGGTCATTGGGGGGGGGGTACGGCACGCAGCACAGGGCATGGCATGCGGGCATGGGGCGTGGGGTGTGATGGATGGCATGGCATGATGCAAGGCACATGGGGTATGTGGTGGACTTTGGGCAACTTGAAAGCATGGAGAAAAGTAAAGCCCATGCGGAACATGTGTACACGGCAGGCACAATGTGCAGCGCATGGCATGACAAAGAGGAAGGAAAACAAGAATGCGTCCAGCGTGACACTTCATCTCCCACACCATGCTGACGTGGCTCTCAATCACCCATGCTGACGTGTCTCTTAATCGCTCGTGCTGACGTGGCGCTCACCACATGATGATGCCGGAGAACTGGATGGTGAGGGAGAGCACGTCCAGCCAGTTCCAGAGCGACCGGAAGTATGCCCACACCTGCCATGCCATGCCCATTCCATGCCATGGGGTGAAAAGCACACGGTATGTAAGGCGCACGTGCAGAAAACTGTTAGCAGAGCAGGCGAGGGGCGACAGCCAGTGTCGCATCACGCAAGCACAGAGTAGAATCAAGAGAGCAACGTCAGTCCCAGCGCTCCTCTTGCCCGTGTGCAATCACTCGGGCTTAAAGGCACCCTACAACGACTCACCCTGCCCGTGTGAAGCCAGAGGGAGAAGGCCTCTCTAGCCTCTTCGAGCAGGTTCCACAAGACAGCAATGACGTACACGAGCGTCACCCCCAGCTGCACCCAGTCGCCCTCCGTGCGAAACACCTCCACGTTGACTGGTTCGATCTCGTACTTCACTGCTATCTGCCCTCCCACCTGGTGGCGAGTGAGGGAGTGAGGGAGTGAATCACAGAGGGAGTGAGAGAGTGAGGGAGGGAGAGAGTGAGGAGTGAGGGAGGGAGCGAGTACACGAGCGTCACCCACAGCTGCTTCGCCCTCCATGCGAAACACCTCCACGTTGACTGGAACTATCTCGTACTGCACTGCTATCTGCCCTCCCACCTGCCCGTTCCCCGAATCCCCGTTCCCCCAATCCCCGTTCCCTGAAGGGCACACCTGGCAGATGAAGCGCACTCGAGTGAGCACAAAGAGATGGCTCTCCCCTGCATTCACATGGTACGATGGCATGATGGCACAGCATGGCAGCAACAGGGAGGGGGCAGAGGGTACGCAGGGAAACCAGGGCGAACAGGGGTCAGCAAGGAGAAGACCGAAACAGATGTCAGCCTGGTGATGTGACACGTCAGCATGATGACGTGGCAAGGGCACAAAGGCCGATGGTGAAGATCGTACCGTTGTAAGTGAGCATCTGGGCGGTGATGGTGCGGGTGGCATTGTCGATAAAGAAGCCGTCCACAAGGTACTGTAGCCGCGCGGCGGCCGCCCCGCTGTCCAGATTCACGTCAAACACGACCGGGAACGCCGCCTTGTCCGCCTGCACGGGCGCGAACCCGTACGGCACACTGTGGTTCTGAAACGCTCGCAGCTCCGTGGGATTGACTGGTGCTACAGTGCCGCCGGTTGCTGATTGGCTGACGGAGCTGGCGCTACTGCCCGGAACGGAGGAGTCTGATTGGCTGACGGCACTGCTGCTGCCGCCCGGAATGGAGGAGTCCGATTGGCCGTCAAGAGGCGGCAGGGATTGGTTGGTGGCTGCAGCGAGGGCAGCAGCAGCGTCAGGGTCGTAGAGCGAGGAGGAGGGGAGGAATGCTGGGTTGATTCCAAATGGCTGGCGTGATGAGCTGTTGGCACAGTAGGGGAAGAGGCTCAGGAACCTGGGGGGAAGGTGACAAGACGGGATATGGAGAAGGTGGGGAGGGGCAAGGGTGGGGAGGGAAGGGGGAGAGGGTAGATGGGGGAGAAGAGATAAGGACAGTGACAGATGAGTGGGTGGTGAGGAGAGGCGGTGAGCGAGCATGCACGGAATGGTTTGGATTGGAGGCATCACAACCACAACGAAGCGCAGTTGGTTAATGAAAACTCCTGAAGCGGCGGCACAGGCTACCATCAGCGCGAGTCTACTGGAGGAAGAAGCCAATGAGCAGGCAGTTGCGCTCTGCTGCCATGTACCGCGCCTGCGCTGCATGCAAGCCCACCATACCCCCCCTGTGAGCGCTCACCACAGCTCATCACGATTCGCCTCACCTGTAGAGGGTGTCATCTCACCTGTAGAGGGTCACCTGTAGAGGGTGTCATCTCACCTGTAGAGGGTGTCATCTCACCTGTAGAGGGTGTCATCTCACCTGTAGAGGGTGTCATCTCACCTGTAGAGGGTGTCATCTCACCTGTAGAGGGTGTCATCTCACCTGTAGAGGGTGTCATCTCACCTGTAGAGGGTGTCATCTCACCTGTAGAGGGTGTCATCTCACCTGTAGAGGGTGTCATCTCACCTGTAGAGGGTGTCATCTCACCTGTAGAGGGTGTCATCTCACCTGGAGCGGCGGCACAGGCTGCCATCGGCACGAGTCTGCTCCAGGAGGAGCCCGATGAGCAGGCGGTTGCGCTGCGCTGCCACGTACCACGCCTGTGCTGCCTGTGAGCCCACCACACGCCTCGTGTGAGTGTCATCACCTAGAGAGGGCCCACCTGGAGGGCCTGCAGGGTCCACCGTCGGCGCGCGTCTGCTCGAGGAAGAGCCCGATGAGAAGCCGGTTGCGCTGCGCTGCCACGTACCGCGCCTGCGCCACCTGCTGCCTCTCCGCCACCAGCTCGCCCAGCGGCGATGCTGCCACGCCGCCCGCTGTGCCCGCCGCCACGCCGCCCGCTGTGCTGTTCATTGTGTCACTTGCTGTGGTGTTGCTGGGTGCGGTGGTGGCGTTGGTGGGGACAGCAGCGGCAGTGGCAGCGGCAGTGCCCGTGTTGGTGTCAACAGCAGTGGCGCGGACAGAGAAGGGGAAGCGGAGGCGGGGGCCAACGTCCTTCATGAGACAGCACGCTGCAAGGACATGCGGGGAAGATGTGGGGGGAGATGAGGATGTGTGAGGGGTGTGCGCAGGCAGTGGTGGCATGTGTGAGTACGAATGCAGCATTGTGGCGCGCTAGTGAGGAGCTGGTGCCATGCTGGTGGCATGCTGATGGGGTGCTGATGGGGTGCTGATGGGTGTGGTGGGGTGCTGATGGGGTGCTGATGGGGTGCTGATGGGGTGCTGATGGGTGTGGTGGGGTGCTGATGGGTGTGGTGGGGTGCTGCTGTGGTGCTGGTGTGTGCAGCGCACTCACAGCCCTGGTTGGAGCGCATCTGCCCCAGCGGGCACGAGCAGGAGGAGGGAGCAGAGGCCACGGCAGCAGGCAGCGAGCGAGGGGGGCGCGCGCACGCACAGTCGCCCCCGTCAAAGGCACAGGCGTCCACGTGGCATGCGCTGTGGCACAGCCCGTCCCCCAGCATGCTCAGGGCGCAGCCTGGCGCACACTGCACTGCCAGCGGCGCTGAGATCACTGCCGCTGCTGCCGACACAGCAGCAGTAGGTGGAGCAGAGGGGGCAGATGGGGCAGGGGCGGCCGCAGCTGTTAGAGCGGATGAGTCTGCTGCGTTCACAGATGCTGTGCCAGCAGAAAAGGTGGCGGTAGAGGGCGATTGGGAGGAGGAGGCGGTTGAGGCGGCCGGGGCAGGCAGCACAGAGAGGAGGCCGGGCATGAGGCGGCCGGTGCGTGTGCAGTGGTAGTGGTAGGTGTTGGGGGCCAGCAGCACTGCTGACACTGAGAAGACCTCCGGGTCGCCAGGGATGGCTGTGAGCGTGCGGGGGAGAAAGGAGTGGACTTTGGGGGAAGTGGGAGTGGACCGAGTGAGCGAGGCGAGAAATTTGCAGCATATACTCTGAGATGGGCAGAGGCAAATATCGGCTAGACTTGGAATCACGGGGAGTGTGTGGGAGTGCGAGCAGGGCGGGGGTTTACAGAGGGAGCAGGGGGGGAACGTACAGAGGGAGCAGGGCAGGGGGACGTGTGCGGCCCACAGCAGGTGCACGGCAGCAGTGGCACGGTCTGAGTCATCGGCAGCAGCAGGCAGTGTCCCCACGTTGTCACTCGCACACTCCGAGCCTGCTGCCACCACCAGCTGCCCCGTGCCAAAGCCGTGCCATGGGGGCGGTTGAGGAGAGGTCAGGTCGGTCACTGCAGGATGGGGGGAGGGAAGGCGAGCGATGGGAAGTGGGGAAGGGAAGGGGAAAGAGAGGGGTGAGCGGAATGCACCCACTCATGTTGTCACTAGCGCACTCCGTGCCAAGCAAGCACCCATGCACAGACACAAACACCCTGAACATCCATGGCACGTACACGTGAGCGCGTGAGGCAGCCCATCAGCCCAGAGCCACGTGACCTTCTCCCCCACCGCCACTGTTGTGTTCAGCACCACCCCCGGCGCCCACAGCAGCGTGGGGCCCACCGCGTCCCCACAGGGCGGCAGGGAGGGGAGCACGACTGCTGGGTCGAGGGCGTGGAGGAGGCGGGAGAGGGCAGCCAGGCGGGAGGGGGGGAGAGCGAGGAGCGAGTCGAGTGCGGCGAGCAGCATGGCTGTGAAGCGCGCCTGCTGGGTGTGGGAGAGGGGCGTTGGGACGCTGCTGGAGGGAGGAGGCACAGGAGTGGGGGAGGGAAGGGGTGGGGGGGGGGGGGGTGTGTAAGGGGGAGAGGAGGTGTGGGGGAGGGGACGAGATGGAAAAGATGTGTGGCGACATGCGTGCTGCCTTGCATTTTATCCCCCAACCCCCATTCCCCATTCTCCATCCCACATCCCCCAACCAAACAGTTTCCCCCACTCACTTGGCGTGGGCCCAGGGCACGTCAGTGCTGAGCTGCTGCAACGTCACCAGCTGTCGCCCGGACGCATGGTGCGTGTAGTTGCACCCCTGCACGCGCTGTGCCACCCGCTCGCCGCCCACCAGCGAGCACACAAACGCCACGAGCCGCAGCCGGGCGGCAGGGGCGAGGAGGGCGGGCGCAGAGGATTGGGCGGCGGAGGGGAGGGGTGGCTGGAAGGGGATGGCAGAGACGAGACAGCTGTCCTTGACAGCTGTGTAGAGGGCACGGGCGACTGCCACGTGGCAGTTCTGGATTCGCTGCTGGTCGGAGGAACCGAGGGCCTCCCAGAGGGTGTTGTCAGTGACGTCTGCAGGCGATGGGGAAGAAAGGGGGAAGGAAAGGCGAAGGGAGGACGAAACGGAGAAGGGGGGGAGGGGAGGACGGGAGGGAGGGGGAAAGGGGAGGAGAGAGTATGGGAGAAAGGGAGGTGGAAGGGGAAGTGGAAAGGGTGGGGGAAAAAGAAAGAGTCGGCCAAAAAGGGCTGGAAGTCGTAAGAAGGGCAAGGTAGGTTTTGGAGTTTACTAAAGATACGCATGTGGGAAGAGTCAAGTGCAAGAGGGAGTGAGAGCAGGAGGAGGGAGCCAAGGCAGAGGAGGGAAGGGAGAGGAAGGGGAGGGGGATGTGCAGGCAGCGGAGCAAAGGAAGACTAGGGGCGAGAGATTGAAGGCAGAGGCTCAAAGGAAACGCACCAGCATTCGCAGCGGCCGCAGGGGCGGCAACAGCAGCATCAGCAGCAGCAGTAGCAACGGCATCAGTAGCAGACGCAGCATAAACATCAGCAGCAAGAGCAGCGGATGCAGGCAGCCGGGCAGCACCCTGCTGCTCCTGCAGCACGTGCAGGGGCGGCACCACCCCCCCTCCCAATACTTGAGTAGACTCATACACAGCAGCGCGTGCAGGCAGCCGGGCAGCACCCTGCTGCTCCTGCACGTGCACGGGCGATACTGCAGAGCCTTGCTGAGGCACTCTGCGGCGCCGGCTCTGCTGCCCTGCTGCCCCGTGTTGACTGTAGCGAGGGTCGTGCTGGTATAAGTGGTAGTGATTGTAAGGAAAGGCCGCCTCCTGAAATCAGCACAGGGCGGGAGGAGCATTGGAGCCGAATGGGGGAGCAAGGGACGGGATGAAGGGGGAGAAGGGGCGAGATGGGAGGAGGTGCAGGGTGGGAGAGGGCATGGGGCAGGTGAGAAGTGCCTGGAGACAGGTGAGTGAGTGAATGGTGGGAAGGATTGTTTCAATGTCTTCGCACACAGCAGGAGAGGGCAGAGGGAAATGGGTGGGTGGGATGGTGCAAGGTGGGTGGGTGGCAGGCAGGAGGCGGGTGGGTGGCGTGGCACACACTGCATGGACAGACAGCTGAGTGCTGGGAGGGGGGAGGGGGCAAACACCTTGTGCACCACACTACACACCTTGACTAGCCTTCTGGCGCCCATATCAGCAGATGCGGCTGTAGCAGCAGCGGAAGCACCAGCACAGAGGTAGGTTGCGAAGTCCGGTGGCAGGGCTCCTAGGGCCTGGTGGGATGGGATGAGATGCGAGAGGGTGGAGAGAGGGCAGGCTTTCGAGAATTCTCAACAGCGACTCAGAGGCGCAGGCACAGAGGTAGGTTGAGAAGTCCGGTGGCAGGGCTCCTAGGGCCTGGTGGGATGGGATGTGAGAAGGCAGGCGAGAGGACAGGATACGTACGCATGCGCAGGCACATGAATGGCCAGACCAGAGCGCTCTCACAAGGGTGCTCTTGGTCATCAGCGCGCTGCTGCTGTGCCCCTCTGTGCTCAAGCGCATGGCAGTCATACAGGGAGGATGCAAGGCGCGGGGCACTGCAAGGTCGCGAGACGGTGGCTGGCTGCAGGCAGCATTGGGAGATCCTTCTAGGAAGTGGGCAGCATGCCCTCCCCTGTCGTGTGCCAAGGGGGCTGTGGAGGCGAACGGTCAGTGTGTGCGAAAGGCAGGACATGGCAGGTGGCAACGCAGGGTGTGTCAGGGCCCAGACCATAGCTGGTGGACGGCGCACGGGAGGGAGTACCTGTGAGCAGGTGAGGTTGTGCGTGGGGACGGGCGGCGTGTGTGGCGGGTTGTTGCAGGCAGCAGCGCAGTCGACAAAGACGGCTGCGAGCACACGCGGAGAGAGCGGGTCGGGGCACGCCTCGAGCACACAGCGCGCCAACACCGCACACGCCTACAAGGGACGGTGGGAGAGGGTTGGAGGGAGTTGGGACGAGTTCTGAGGCACGTAAAAGACCAGCATGGCACGGCACACGCCTGCGGGTATGGTGGGAGAAGTTGGGGCAAATTTGAAAGCGGGTGGAAAAATCAACATCGCATGTGCCTTGGGCTGGGATCGAGGGTGGTGAGAGAGAGGTTGTGGAAAAGGGGTTGGGGCAAGTCAGGCATTGGGCGCTGGAACAAGGAGACAGCAGAGGGATGGACTCACGGATCGGCAGCGTGTGAGCGGCGATGTGGTGGCCTCCTGACAGCCGCCCCACTGGGCTATGGGTTGAGAGGGGGAAGATGATGATGATGAGGAGGAGGAGGAGGAGGAGGAGGATGAGGAGGACGAGGAGGAGGACGACGAGTCAGACGAGCCAAAGTAACCAGGCGAGTCGATGGCGACAGCAGACTGAGAGGATTGAGCAGCAGGGTAGACGAGACCGGTGACGCCCCCAAAGGGCGCTGACAGCACCACCTCCCAGTCGCCCTCAGGCACCCACACTGTTTGCTCCCACTCCGCTGCCACCTGAGAAAACACCTGAGGTGCCTCGTACCTGCAGCATGGAAGGAAAGAGGGTGCGGAGAGTTTGGGAGAGGAACAACGATGGGTTTGGAGCGGTGGGGAGAGGGTGGAGAGAGAGAGGGTGGGCAGAGGATGGGGAGAGGGTGGGGAGAGAGAGGGTGAGGAGAGGGTGGGGCCCTGTGGGAGCCAACTTGCACTCACCAGCAGAGGGAGGGCAGGCCCTTGCACTCACCAGCACAGGGAGGGCAGGCCCTTGCACTCACCAGCACAGGGAGGGCAGGCCCTGGGGGCAGAGGTTCCAGGAGGAGGCTTGGGCGTATTCCAGAGAGGCGAAGGAGGAGGAGAGGCGCAGCGTGAGCGGGCGCAGGTTGGGCAGCACACCGCAGTCCGCCTCACAGCCAAAACGGCCGAACGCTGGGAACTCCAAGGGGCGCTCGCACACGCCGTTTCCGCAGGGGGGGTCTTTCCATACCACCTGAAGGAGGGAAGAGTAAGAGGCGCAGCGTGAGCGGGCGCAGGTTGGGCAGCACCCCGCAGTCCGCCTCACAGCCAAATCGACCGAAGGCTGGGAACTCCAAGGGGCGCTCGCACACTCCATTGCCGCAGGGAGGGTCCTTCCATACCACCTGAAAGGGGGGGTGCAGAGGGCAGTGGGCAGTAGACAGTGGGCTTTAAGACATGATGTGTTGTCCAAAGGCAGGGAACTCCAAAGGGCGCTCGCACACACCATTGCCGCAGAGAGGGTCCTTCCATACCACCTGGGGGGGGGGTCACCGGGAATGGGGAGGTGGAGGTGGAGGAAGAAGGTGGGAAGGGGTTTAGGGGAGGGGAAGATGGTGCGGCTACGAGGAGAGAAGAGCGCTGGACATTCCGCTGCTGCAGGGGAGCTTCCTTCCTTCCGCACCACTTGGGAGTGTTGCGGCGCGGGCGACAAAGGAGAGCGGAAGAGGCGAGGGAGAGCACTCACTTGGAGAATGGTGTCGTTAAGCCAGGTGTAAAAGTCGTCTGGTCCACTCAGCGTGTTGGTCACATCGCCCGACACACCCTGCAGCCAGCCATCACACGGGGGAGGCACGCACAGACGAGGTTTAGGACGGCTCAACTCGCAGCATGTTGGGTTGGTCACTGCACCACATGCCCATGCCCCACCCCCACGCCCATGCCTGCACCATGCCTTTTGAGGTGCCTCAAAAAACGCCCCTTCATGCACCCATACCCCACACAGGGCCCATACCCCCCCACACACCCTCGTGATCGAGCACTCACGGGTGGCAGCAGGATGTTGTGCGAGGTGGCGACCTCGTAGTTGCGGGAGGAGTCGGCTTGCAGGTAGAGCACGGTGAGGTAGAGGCACGTGTACAGCGAGAAGGCGAGCAGGTTCTTGAAGTTCTCTGTGAGCCACTGCATGTGCGTCACTGAGTCGTACATGGCTGTGTGGGGGGGAGGGGGGTAGGGGAGGGGAGGAGGTGGGGAATGAGGGTTAGAAAGGGGGAAGAGAGAAGGCGAGCAGGTTCTTGAAGTTCTCCGTGAGCCACTGAATGTGCGTTACCGAATCGTACATGGCTGGGGGGAGGGAGGGGGGAGTGAAAGAGGAGAGGTGACAGGGAGAAAGGGGAGGGGCGGTGGGGAAGAGGAGGGTATAGATGTGCTTATTTTTGAGGAGTGGAGGGGATAAGAAGTGGAGATTTTGCAGAGTTTTCTAAGCCACTTCAGGTGTGAAAACGCCTCGTGCACCACCTTGCACCGCATCCCACCTTGCACAACCTCCTTGTCCAACAGATACTGCTCATCTTCGTCCTGCTCCTCCCCATCTCCCTCCCCCCCCTCCCACCCCTTGCCACGCCCGCTCCCCGCACTGCTCCCGCTGCTCCCACTCGCTCGAAACGCCCCCCTCCCTCGCCGCTCCCCGTTCATATCTGCTGCTGCAAACGCCGCTTCCACACGACTCGCCCTCAACTCATCCGGAATTTTATGGAATCCGATTGGCCTGTCTCTGTCCACGTCATCAGCCCCCATGCCATCCTCGTCGTGCTCCCCTGCGGCGTCGAGCGCAATCGAGAGCTTCGATCGATGAGACAAACCCAGAGGAGGCTCGGCCCGAGCCTCGTGCACAGGTTCGGCGCCGTCCATGTCCTGGGACGGACTGGAGCCAGAGTCGTCGAACCGGACGTGCGGCGTCAAGCCTGTGCTCACCGAGCCTACGTCCACCTCCCGAAGCCAGCTCGGTAGGCCCGGCGGAGGCTCGGCGGCAGCAGCCGCAGCAGCAGCGACGGCAGGGTCGGCAATGAGTGGCTCATTCATGAGCCTGGCCTCCACCTCTGCCGCATCAAACGCGGAGCCATGGCGGCTGTGGGAGCTGCGTGGAGGGAGAGGGATGGGGAGGGGAGTGGAGGGGGGGAGTGGGATGGGGAGGGACGCAGCTTAAGGGAAAGGGGTTGGGATGAAAGGGATGGGAAGGGGAGGGGCAACGGAGAAGAGGAATGGCGCGTGCGGAAAAGGAAGAGTGGCAGATGGAGGAGGAGAGAGCGAGCAGCCATACTCGTAACTAACCACCACCCAAGCCACCACCCGAGCCACCACCCGAGCCACCACCCGAGCCACCACCCGAGCCACCACCCCAAGCCACCACCCGAGCCACCACCCTAACCACCGCCCGAGCCAACACTACTCGTGCTGCGGTACGTACGCTGGAGTGCCAGAGCCAGCATCAGCGCGCAACTCCCTGTTCCATCCGCGCGCCATGCTGCTGCGCTGCCCGTTGCACTCCTCCGTCCACTGCTCCGCTATAGGCTCCAACTCGATATTACTACTCTCGCGGCCCGTGCCGTGCGGCAGCCATCGCGACATGGACAGCAGCGCCGGCGCCATAACGCCTTCCGCGCCGCCGCCACTGCCCGGCTCCGCGCCGCCGTTATCCTGTGCAGCCGCTGCTGCCGCCGGCGCCGCAGCCGGCGCGGCGCGCCGCTCCCACCCCAGCAGGCGGTACCAGAATGGTCTTTCTGCCTCCGCCGCGCCCGCCGCGTACGCGCCGTCGTCGGCGCTGCTGCCTCCCAGCCATCGCCATACTTTACTCTCCGCAGACGTTCCTTCAAACTCATCCGCGGATGTCCAATCGTGCGGGCCGGCTCTCTCCCTCCGCTGCCGCTGCGCGTCGCGGTATTCCGCATTACGCGGCGGCCGTCCGTCGACGACTCTCGGCGAATACCCTGAGCGATACGATTGATTGGAAGGAGACGGCGGTTCGAAACCAGGCGACCGGTCGCCGTACGGGCTGCGACCGTTTCTGCGACGTCGATCGCCGGGTGTTTCTGAGCCGTCGTGCGACCGGCCGCGATGGAATGACTGACTAGGCAACAACTGAGGGGGCTTACGGCCCTGCCGCGAAACGCGGGAGTGCTGTCGAACCACAGAAGCGATCTCCGCCATCAGTCCGACTGGAGAACTGCTAAATTTCGGCTACATCGACCGCGAAGGTTGCTCCACGACCCTAAATATACAAGCTAGAATGGGAACGAGACGCTACTGCGGTTCGGTGAGGCTGTAGGTTTGGAAGGAGGGCGGCACCGGGAAAAAGGCAAACCAGCAAAAGCGGCTTGGCCTGGAACATGCGAGCTGGTTCGCCTTGGCACGCTGCGGACAAGACGCACTAATCCGCAGACAGGGCTTGGAACGAGGGCGGACCGGCCTATTTTAAAGGGTATCGTTCTCTTGCCGCATGAGCAGTTCGGGCCTTCTGCACAAGCACTGCGGGATGGGTTTCCCTCGAAGGGGTCAACCCTCCCGCGGCCTCGGCGAAGTTTGTTGCTAACGACAAAACGGGTTTGCCACCAGCCCATGTTTTTTTTTTTTTCCGTTCACCATGCCCAGTCTGCCCGGGGTGCTCAAAATGTTTCATCTCAACCACTCACAAATCTTCGGCCAATGGGTTCACCCTTTCCTCTCGTTTGGTATGTTTTTGAGGTGAGCTATTTCATCACACAATTTCCCAAAATTGGGCATTCAGCTCTGCCCGTTATTGGTTGTGCGTCCCCTTATTCCACCTCGGATGGGCGGATAGGCTCCGCACGAGCGGTGGCTCCAAATTGCCCGTAACAGAAGTTTCGAAGTAATGTCTAAACGCACTAGCTGTGGTGCGTTCTTGAACCCTTGGGCGCACAAGATATGTTATCAGGTTCGGTACATAATAACGAGTTGGGAGGCTCGACATGGGCTTTAAGCTCTGTCATTTGGCTTCCTAGAATATTCCTCAGGGGGCCCAAGCACCCCGAGCATAAGAAAACGCATGAAAGAGCTTAAAGCCCACGTCAAGCTTCCCAACTCGTTATTGTGTACCGAACCTGGTAGCGTTTCTTGTGCGCCCAAGGGTTCAAGAACGCATCACAGCTAGTGCATTCGGACATTACTTCGAAACTTCTGTTACGGGCAAATTGGAGGCACCGCTTGTGCGAAGCCTACCCGCCCAACCGAGGTAGAATAAGGTCCTCCCTGAGTGGTGTGCCACCTGTCTGCAAGGCTTAGGTAACAACAGTCCACTATACGAAAGGATAACAATAAGAAAGCATTGTGTGTGTGTGTGAGAGTGAACTTACCTGACCCTGGCTCGAACCGTGCATTTCTCAATGTGCGGCTCGAGCCTGGGTTGGTTTGTCCCCATTGGTTGCATGGATTCCTCCCCTTGGTGCTCTCCTACCAACTTCGCGTCAATTTCCCAGCCCCCACCTACTCATCCTCGAACCTGCAAGTACAACATAGCTACACCGCTACTACACTTCTTTATTACTGGCACCTTATATGCACAATCGTGCATATTTTGTGACTGCTGTCGGAGATACCGCTATCCCTTCTCTGCCTTCGTCTTCATGTTCATCTTCACTTAGCTCCTTCTGCTGCCTCAGCCACCCTCTGCCCCCTCCTGTGCCCGTGCTCGCGCAGCTTGGGCGCGGGTCACAGGACCGTTACGCTGAGGCCCGCTTCCCTTGATCACTGCTGTGTTCGTTTGATGCTCCTTTAACTGCGCTCCCGTGTCATTCTCCAGGACCAGCACCCCCGAAGGGCGCGCCTCCTTGACCTTCCAGCGGACCGTCCCCAGCCCCACATCTAAGGTGTCCTGCTTTGCTCTCTTAAGATACACCTCCTGCCCTTCACTGACTCCCCTGGTCGCTCGTCCTTCTCCCTTGCGCTGTCTCTGTTCGTACCTCTTGGCATCCCTCAGCTGTGCGGTGTGCAGGTTCTCCAAGGCTGCAGGCATCATGTAGCGCATGTAGCGCGCTCTCACCTCGGACAGGGCTACCCAGTTTTTTATTGTGCCCGCCGTCACTGTGTCTGTCAGCACCCGTGGTGCCCCCACTGGCAGTATGGGCTCTCGTCCGTAAAGTAGGCTGTACGGCGAATGATCCTTCAGGGCTGCCTGTTTCCCAAACCTGTACCCCGCGGCTATCCAGTCCAGCTCCTCATCCCAGTCTCTCTTCCTCTGCTCCCCATAGGCCCGCAGTCCCCGCTTAAAGGTCTGCACGGCTCGCTCAGTCAGCCCGTCGCTCTGCGGGTGGTAGCGGGAGGTCTTGCGGTGCGTGATGCCAGACTCCTCCAGCAGCTTCTTGAACTCTCCTTGGAACTCCGTTCCTTGATCTGTAAGCACATCCCCGCACGCTCCGAATCGGCACACCACCTGCGCTTTGAAGGCTGCTGCAATGTGCCTCGCGCTCTTGCTCGGTATGGCTCTCACCTCCAGCCACTTACTCACATGCTCCACCATGAACACTATATACTGGTTCCCGCTCCCGCTCAGCGACAACTCTCCTGCGAGGTCTAGAGACCAGCGAAACCCCAGCCCGCAGATGGGCAGTGAGTGCAGCTCTGCTTTGGCCTGCGTCAGGTTGGCTTTGCTCCTCTGACATGCCTCACACCCCTCCACCCACTCTTTCACCTGCCTGCGCATCCCTTCCCACCACCAGCCTGTCTTCAGCAGATGCACGGTCCTCTCGTGCCCGATCTGCAGCTGCTGCTTCTTGATCTGCAGCTGCTGCTGATACCACCTGTAATGATGCCCTCGCGCCCTTACTCTCTCAGGCACTGTTTCATCCTCCTCTGTTTCTCCCTTCACCCATTGCATCGCCTTTACATCCAGCCAGATGTCGGTTGGCCCCTTACACCCCTTCGCCCCTGTCTGCTCCATCTCTCTTGCCAGTAGAATCAGCGTTCGCGCCGGCTCTTGCTCTCTCTCTTCCGTCCCCGGTTCCGTTTCCAGTGGCGGTGGATTGCGGGAGAGGCCGTCAACGTGCTGCAGTGTCTTCCCCGGCCTGTGCCTGATCTTGAAATCATATTCCTGCAGCTTTACTGCCCATCGCGCGTTCCTCCCTGTCAGCCCTGGTGTGGTCATCAGCCAGGTGAGTGGCTGGTGGTCAGTGACCAGGGTGAATTCTCGGCCCTGCAAGTATATCCGGAAATGCCCGACCGCCCACACTGCTGCCAGCCCCTCCCCGATGTATGAGCTGTATTGTGCTTCCGCTGGATTGCAGCTCCTGCTGGCGTAGGCCACCACCTTCTCTACTCCCTCCACCTCTTGGCATAATATTGCCCCCATCCCCTGGCTGCTCCAGTCGGTGTAGAGGATGAAGGGCTGGTCTGCTGCTGGCAGTCGCAACACTGTCGCTGTCTTCACGGCTGTCACGAGGTCCTGCAGCGCCTGTCTCTGCTCTTCTCCCCACTCCCATGCCTTGTCCTCCCACAGCATCCCATTTAGCACTGTCTCTCGTTTGCTGAATTTTGGCACGAAGCGCCTGTAGTAGCTGAGGAAGCCCAAGACTGCACGCAGCCTTGACTTGTCTCTTGGTTCCCTTAGCCTGTCCAGCACTCGCACCTTTGCTTGCTGGATACCAATCTGTCCCCCTGTGACCTCATACCCCAGGTACTGCACCGTCCGCTCCCCCCACCTGCACTTGTTGGGATGGCAGGTGAGCCCTGCCTCTTCTATGGTGGTCAGCGTCTTCTCCACGTCCTCCAGGTGCTGCTGCTCGGTCAAGCTGAAGATCACTACATCGTCTATATAGCACGCCGCGTGTTCTATTCCCCGCAACACCGCGTCCATGACTCTCTGAAACACCGCCGAGGTGTTCCTCAGTCCGAAGGGCATGTACAGCCACTCGTACAGCCCATCCGGTCCGTGAAAAGCCGTTTTCTTCACATCCTCCTCTCTGATTTTGATTTGATTGAATCCCTGTCGCAGGTGCAGCGTCGTGAAGAACACCCGTCCGCCAATTTGTCAAAGAGCTCTTCCGCCATCGGCATTGGGTATCTATCTGGCACTGTAATTTTGTTGAGATCCCTGTAGTCCCCGCACATCCTCCTGCTCAGCACCTCGCCTGTCAGGTCCTTCCTGGCTGCCACCACGGTTGGGGTGGCGTATTCGGACTCTGACCTCCTGATCAATCCGGCTTCCAGTAGCTCCTTTATCTTCTCCCTGCAGATCGCTTCATCCCCTGGCGGCATCTTCCTCCTGCGGTGGAATACAGGCTTGTCACTACTCAATTTCAGCGCCATCTCTTTGATCTTGTACTTCCCCAACTCCAGCAGTGTGAAGGCGAAGCCCTTCCGATGCTTTGCCAGCAGTGCCCGCATCGCTGCCTTCCCTCCTTCGCTCATGCTCTCTCCTATCTTCCACTCTGGCTCCTCTTTCGGCAGGCAGGCCCACACCCCTGCCTCACCGTCTCCACTGGACTTTCTCCCTCCTTTAATCCCCACTTCAGCACTGTCTCCTTCCACATCCGCTGCACCAACCACCTCATCATGTACCCATCCATGGCATTTCCCAATGCCCGCCTCCGTTCCTTCTCACTCACGCCAGGGGCTGC